AACTTTCGCATAAAACTAGCTAAAGATCCCTGAAAAATTGAATAATTAAAGTACCTTTCATTAGAGATGTACCAATACCACTTTTGTCGCCGATACCAACTAAGAATGCCGATGCCGATACATCGATATTACAAAACGGCCGATATTGCCGATACCGATACTATGTAAATATTGCCTCACGTGTGCAGGGCAGCAGGAAACACTAGTCTTTGAGCATTATTGGACACGTAGTGGACATAACGATCGTTTCAATATTATGTTGTTGTTGTTGTTCTTGTTCTTGTTCTTTGACACGTTTTTAAAAAGTCGCTTTTCTCTTTGATTACTGGACTAATTGCTTTGAAATTTTCAGTGGTTGAAGATGAAATTTTTCTCCAGAAGGCTATTACTTTTATTTATTTCAAATATTTCTGTTAGCTCTGTAAGATTTGTTTTTGTTTGCTATGACGTCACTAAACGTTCTGCGGATATCGGACGCCATTTTGTGTCCAACGGACCATCTTGCAATTTCAATTCACACTGTCACAAGACAGGAGTTCTGGTACCGTAACACAGCGCGGTGACACTGAACTAACTCGTAGCTGTCAAAAGCTTGAAAATCCATACAAATATGAGAAATAAAAAGATGAAACTTGGCAGGTGGGTAGAGTTGTGTTTCTTTTAACCATATTTGAAAGTTTCGCGTTTCTACATTTGAAGGAGGGGGAATAGGGGGTGTGCATTTCCGATACGTCGATAATATCTTTGTCAACAAATTTACGGCCACCGTGTTTTCGTCTGTTTGATTGCTGTGATGTGGTGCTTTGTTTATAATTTAACGAGTTTTGTTCGAAATAACCGTGTTCTTGAAATATATGACGGTCAGAAATGCAATTAGAAGCCCAATGTTTTCACGCTGTCACAAGACCAACAATTGTCAACCAATTTGCGACCACTGTGTTTTGTCTGTTTGATTGCTGTATGGCTGCGTATGCGATAGTCTCGACGCAGCATAAACGATGATCAAGGCCTGAAATCCGTGGTCGCACACTGGTCGTTCGGTCGCAAATACGTCTTTCGAGTGCCGTACTTTGGGGATTTGTATAGCTTCAACCCTTTGTCGTAGAAAGTTAATACGAGGTTTAGCGTGTAGAATAAATGCCGCCAATGCACCCACGGTGAAAAAATTAACGGGTTAGATATATTGGTTTTTGTTTTATAGCGGTTTGAATGAAATTGTCCGCAGACTGGCTACACCACCCTAGGCCTGGTGAGTTGTCCGTGTAGTCGAATTGTCCATCAGCCCTAAACGGCTATGACAGTCACTGTACCAAAAATTGTACCCCGATTCGGGTGGTGTTAAGTTGACGCATGTTATTTAGTAACGTTTTTATGTGAAATGTTTGACTGTGGTTCGGTACCTGATCCGATAATACGGTACATAATTGACTCATATCACGAGATATTTCAACTGATGTTTCAATTGTCACAGGACCTAAAATATCTATGACAGTCCCTGTACCGTCACGGTACCCCGATACAGGTACTGGTAAGTCACCGCCGGTATGTTAGTCGTTGGTCACCGCATATGATTTTTGGGGAATTGTTCTGCGTGTCCATATATTTGAGCATTGCTCTCTTGTTTATACTACACATTATTTCAGATTTTAAAAGGATATAATACATCAAAAGAAATTGATGTTTTGGATTCAGATGCGTTAATTAATTTAGAAGCATTGTGTACTGACGCTTGTAATTTCGGTGCTCCATAGGAAAACTCATAGGCAGGGAGGGGCAGGAAATTATTCAATAATATATCGCAAATGTTATATCGTATATTTCGAGATAGTCTGGGCGGCCACGCGGCAATAAATATATGAGGAAATTGTATAGTCAAACAAAATTAAAATTTATGGAATCACAATATTTAATACCTGTGTAGAGAGATAATTGAGTCGGAATTTAGCTCAAAAACGTCGATGGACTAAATGACACTATAGCGCTTAACGATAAACAGTCAGAACTTATAACCGTGCCAAAAAGTGCGTATGCAAATACGTTTTTACACTATGATTTAAAACTGGGAGCCTGGTTGCTCTTATTTTGTGCTTGTCAATTACCACCATAATTTATAGGTATAAGTACCGTACTGCTTATTAGGTCTACTTTCTTAGAGCAATTTCATATATATCACACATGCCTTATAACTGCTTTACAATGATAACATTATCAAAGCCTAATTTATATGTCTCTGGATTTTAGGAAAGTGAATTGTATTTATGAGGGGGATTTTACAATGTATTTGGAATCTCAATATCAAAAATATTTTTAGAATGTATTCGAAATAGTCGATGGGTATGGCTATCCCCGCTCCTGAGGTTTTGCTACCAGGGTGGTGAAATAAATAAATGTTTAGCCTACTTATCTTATCAAATTGATACATTGGGTTACGTGCGCAAGATATTGTTTCAATATGACGACATATTTTGTATTTTACACATTAGAAAATCCACTAATATTCGATTGATATATTTATTCATAATTACTATGTAATATTAAAAACGTCAATATAAAAATTTGGCAGTGAAAATAGCCAAATTAGTTGAGCGTTTGGCTGATAAATACCTAAGAACAGGTCAGAATCCAATTCTCGTTTCTACTCGCGGGGGTGTGGACGTGTATGGCTCATAGTTCACGATTTCCTCAAGCAAAAAATAATTTAAACATCAGTATTCCAACTTCTTTTTTAAAACATTCTGGATCATATCAAAAAGGTAAACAAATCGGTCTTCATTTAACCGATACCGATACACTACCGATATCGAAAAATTGGCCGATATTGCCGATACCGATACATCTCTACCTTTTATGCATACTACGGGAGAAATTAAGAGTTTCAAAATGGACGGTTGTAGGAATTCAACACAAAAGGTTGGGAACCGACTACATTAAAGCACTTGATTTTAAAATGTTTACATATGGGTTCATTTCTGTCGATACATGGGCTACTTTACTGTACATAATAAATAGGCATGCGCAACCAAGTCTTTTTTCGACAAGTCTATATAGGGATGGGCAATGTAGAATAATTTACTATTCTAGAATATTCTAGAATAGTTAAATCGAATCCAGAATACCGAATCCTATTCTATTTTCATACTTATTCAAATAGTGGGAATTTCTACATTGCTGGATTTAGATGGTAAAAAATTGCAAATGTATTACTTACTATAAATGTATTATCTATTTGGAAATGTCCTGAACATTGGATTTCATTTGATACTAAACAGGCAGTTCCCCGGACAATAAAATTTAGGAATATTACAATATTTTTTGCCTTCAATTGTTCCAAATGTATGTAATCCCTAAATACTAATAAATACTGATATGCTAAATTAAAACACGCTTTACATACTTTAATAGTAAGTGGTTAAATACAAAATAGACATGAAACGGCGTTAAATCATTATTAATGTAAGTCTGCCGAGTATACTACAACATACCCGCTGAGAATTAATTAGATGCTGAACCAGCGTGTGGCCACTGCAACCTATGCGCCGTTGTGAAATATTAAATTTAACCACTATCAATTAAAATCAACCTTTTATTCTGTGAGAGCAAGACACGTAAAACCAAGTTCCCGTAAACGCGATTTCGTACTTAGTTATTAGGTAATAACATCTGAAGACGAACTCATTTTCTATGATTATCGTTACATATCATTATCTACCCAGACTTAGCCCTACTCAAATTCAATCTGTCACTATCTTCGCCAGATGCGGCAACTTTTTTCAAAATTTATCGGCAACTAAAATACCACAGACACTCGATCAAACGTGCGTCTATCTTGAACGATAGAAACGGACCGAAAAATATGTAATCTTTTGAGAGTGAAATTTAAATGTGTCAGTAGTTCGCGTTTTGCGATATAACTTTGTATTTCGGAAAATGGTATAATAAAATTATTCGTAAATAATATTTGATTTAAATTAATGGCGAGTAATGTTATAACATTTAACGCCTGGCTTTCGGTTTACGTGCATCATTTTTTTGAAAAAACTCGTAGGTCGCGAAAAATCATTTAATTTAAAATGAAGCAAGGCACGTCTGTAAACAATTAAAGATTGTTGCATTCAGATTATCGGAATATCTCCAGTAAGTCGGCACAAATAACGCTAGCTAGATAGCAAAGAAGGAAAACGCAAAAATGGTGCAATAAATCGAGTCCTCGGCGAGAGGTTATATTACCGACTTCTTGTCCTGAATATGCCGATTGAAATTACAGCGTCTGATGTTTACCGATTTACGGGTTCTTTGCGAGCAAACGCAAGTTTAATTAAGCGATGTTTACCGATTTACGGGTTCTTTGCGAGCAAACGCAAGTTTAATTAAGCGAGAGAGATTTCAACGCGAGAAAAACGCTCGTCTATAATTGATAAATTAGAAACCCGAAATACAAAAATTGACGCTTGGCGCCGGAGAGGCGGAAACCGAATCCTGTTATCGGATCCCGTTGTATTCGAATCCTCCGGATTCGGTATTCTATATTGCCCATCCCTAATAGTATAATCCTTTTTCATTTTTGTAAAACTGATCGAAGAACTGACTTACATAAAAAGCAGGCTGCTTTTAAAGAGTAACCATGATACAAAGGATGAATACGTGAACTCCGTGCGAATATATAGGTTGCAAAGTACAGAAGCGTGTGCGCAGGCGCATTTTGCAACATATCAAGTTAGAAGGGAGAGCAAAGCAGTTGCCAATGTCCCAGTAATTTTCGCAGTAGCAAGTCGAATATATTTGGGAGTTTGAACAGTAGTAAGGATAAGGTAGTAACAATAAAAAGTCAGATTTGATTTCAAAATGTGACTCGCCGTATACGCGTTGCTAAGTTTACGATTTCAAATGAATGCAAAGTTTGTAGTGAGATCAATAACGACATTGTGTCATCGCATCAGATTAACCTAATTGTATGTTCTCTTTTCGTGAACTTTCAATAGCACTCCGCTGCCTTCGGCGAATATGTCTTTGTTTGGACAGCTCTTTGGTATGTTTGTTCACAAAGAGACCTGATTCGATGTATCTTGTTTTCCATTAGTAGGCATTTGTGCTTTCTTTGTTTGATATTACGAAGAAGGGTTCCGCTTAAAAATGAGCTGGTAAACGTGCGTTAGCAACTCTATTTAACACACGGTTGGTTGTCACTGGAACGGAAGAAAAAGTATTATCGTTGCCTGTTGAGCAGATGATAAAATTGAAGGTATAATTGTTTATATGCATAGAGGCAGTGTTCCGCGCTTGCAAGCGTTGTTGTACAGGCGATAATCTCAAAAAGGAAAAAACTTTTTTTCCAGTGATAAAGCACTTCTCGGCTCTGATTTTTATGTTTGGCGGGAGACTGTTCTAATTTCTGTTTTATAACGTCGCAAACAAGCCTGAGAATAGGGAAAAGTTGCTATTAATTTGATGTTATCAATTAATCTGCTTGTTTGATCGTGAAATATCACATTTATTTTCACTCGAAAAAAATTACTTCAATTCCAGCCGATCTTCTGTTTAATGCCAATGCGACGTGCACACGCACGAGTTCGCATTTTGCACTGTTCTGGGAGTAAGAAGTGTCGAAGTACCCGATCACGCGCCTATAAGTGAGAATAGTGTGGAAGAGCGGTATCGAATTTTACTGTAAATTTGCCGTTGCTCGTATTTTTTTTACATGCGTATATAGTATTTCTTAAGATACAGTCGTGTATCACACGACTTCAGAAAAAGGCGAACTGAAAGACAGTAAAGGTGACAATATTTTTTCAAATAGGTTCTTCGATTTATGGGCGTACTGACAATCATGAAACTTGGATTATTTGCTGTATCCGCGTTTTGTCTTGTTATGGCTCTGGGATGGATTCTGATATACTGCCCTTCAGGTAAGTTAAGGTTTGTTATAATCAAAGGCGATTTATAGTGTTATGAATTGAGCAGGACACATCGTTTTTATTGAATTTCCCTAAACCGTTTTTACCAATCGCTTCTAATTATTCTGCTGGTTTCAACGCCACGTATGCTATAGCATCGCGCAAACAATCGACAATGCATTGCAAAATCTAATAATCGGCTGAAACAAAGAGCGACGTTCTGCGCGACTGCACACTGATTACGTCGGTGTTTACACTCCTTTCAATTATCGAAAGCAAGGCCCGCAGTCACAATAGCTGAATCGATACACTTATGACTCATTGCTGACGGCGAAAAACAATTTTTCAGCCGTAAACCAGACAAGTTATTTGAAATTATGACCTTTGGACGTTAGAGAAGAAAAACACGTAAAGCATTTTTTGGACTTTGCGCCTAAACGGAAAATTAATATTGGAAGCACATGACATCAGCGTAAAAACAGAATTTGTCTAAAACTGTAGAAAACTATATCAATCGAGCCGTGGCAGTTGGCAAGTAAGCAAAATAACGATGAAGTGTTGATCAGAGCGGTTGATACCAATATATTCAATATCGAATGCATAACACAACACGAGGTCTGCATGAACTCTTTATCTCAACAATTTTTATGCCAACGATATATGCCATTCAATATGAATGGTTTTCACTAAATGCATATGGAAATTGTTAGGTTCCAAACGTAATTGCATATTTATGCCAACAATATTATTGTTTTTCAATTAGTTATCCATGCTCAAATGTAGACGCTGTGGCAGTAGCATGTCCGTTAAATAGTGGTTAAAATTGAAAAAAAAATTGTCATAAATAAAAAAATATATATATATATATGAACTATTTTCACAAAATTAGGTGTCCGTCAGTTTACATGTTCGTTATCCAAATCGTAAAGTAATTATATATGCGAAACATAAAAAAATATTTTGCATAAATAATTAGAAAAGTGCGGAATAGCGAATATAATATATAATGTGATCGGTCACGAAAATTTCATTACACTTATGCAACGGTGTACGTGGTCCTGATTTTCGATAATGCACTTATAACATTAACGTGTATTATTGTATACTCGCTACTACTTCTTTCGTCACATGCTGTTGTAGTCGGCCTGTCGATGTTTAGTTGATTAATTCCATCCTCTTCTTATGGCGCCTTTTTAACAGCATCGGTACTGGTTCAATAACTCGGTTTCGTGTTCTGGCGTGACAGATTAAATATCTGGAACACAATCGTTTGTTATTGAACGGTTAATCTTTATCTATTTTCTCCGTTAATTACTTTGAACTTTTTGGCGAACTAGAAAAGATTCCGCGTTCAAGCCTGATTGCATTGTGGACTGCGGAACTTTGATCATTTGCTATCACATTTCTCCCTACGACAAGTATAGCCGACCGGGTCTATTCAAGGACGCGACCGAATGCGGTCGTTGACCTCTCACGCATATTTCAACATTCTCGAGATTGCAACGTCCGCTGTTGCAATATATATTGTTATGCTATTATAACGAAGAACAGTCTTAATAAAATTGTTGCGTAATTCAATTGTAGTTTTGCGAACTGACGCAATCAATCTACATCGACAATTCCACATCTAAATTTTTCCTTACCAATCCTTTTCGTCCCTTGAATCATGCGATAATATAAAAATGAGGGTAAATTGGACTTTTGTAATTTGTCGATAGATAAATGAGATTGCTTACGATTTTATATACTCTGCACTAAGAGTCTGTGACGATATGTATTCGTATATATTTTATACTTTCAGCTATGCGATACAAAGTATCTGTGCAAGAAAGTATGATCAGCGATACAAGGTACGTAAGTCATGTGTCTACCTCTATAGTGGTAACAAAGTTAAACCTCCACTACGGATTTCGGGCTTCTATAAATTCGATTCCAACCCCGGTATTTTTTTTCTCTTGATTGAACCTTGAAAATGCAACCACCGAAAAACAAGTCTCCATTTCCCCTACAAAAGTCATTTCGAAATAGGACCCTATATGAAATATAGGGATATATGTCACATTGATTATTTATTTCAATTTACGCAGAAAGCATAACGATGTCGCAGGTTATTTTCAACATTATGAAGCAAAACTGGACGAAGAATTGAACGTATTGAAGCAAAGAGAACCAGAGAAAATGATGGAAAAGCAAGCACCAAAACTTGATGAGAAGGTATCAAATACAATCTCAATTTTAAATTTACTCGATTGCATTACTTAAGTTACAGCTCTTTGCAGATAGATTGAATGTTGTATCATTGCATATTGTGTGTGTTGACGTATAAAGAGACACTGTTTTGAAATTTTATTTGTTCGTAGACGCCAATATGGCTCATATTTTTTAAACTTGAGCCTGACTTAACCCACATAGTCAGTTCGCGCGTTGCACTGCTTGTTTAATTTCATATTGAGATAATTTCGAAATTTGTTTTTGCGATATCTACACAGTGTTGCTGGTTGCATAAATGTAATGGCAAATTGTTTGCTATATCATTCTTCTTTCTATCATCATTATATCTGATAATATTTCTAGGCTACGATACCGATGGATAAATATACAGATGAAGCGTTTGATGATATGATATATCAACTTGATCACAAAAAACTGGATGAATTTGAATTTCTTATTGAATCAATGAATGTCACCATATATAGAAAGTTGAAGGTATTCCATTTGTAATATGATTGATTAATATCTCGAAAACAACGATAGAAGAAAATGAGAAAATAGTATTCTTCAGAAATTAGTTGTGAACAGGTTTATTGTTAATTTTCTGTATTTTACTTTTTAATACTGAAAATATGAGAATCGAAAACTTTTTTGCCTATTTTGTCAACAGGGTAACGGATTGTACGAATACAAACTGTATGCAAATTTGCCTTCTGCAACACCGGAAGTGCTGACGATGGTGTTTCTGGACTCAGATTACAGACTGGAATGGGATGAGTACGTCACAGGTATAAACTTGCATAAATTTGGTCTACCAATTTTATCCATAATCAGTCAGGCGCTAATCAACAGTGATAAAAAAAGTCATAGTTGCATAGTTTCGCTTTAACCGAGTCCATATCCTATATTTTCGAACAACGAAAAATATACTATTCAATTCAAGAGTCCTGCTAAAAGAATTGGGAGTTAGTATCGCGCAACCCATAATGATAACGAAAAATATTATCGTGTTCTTTTTTGACGTGAAATGCCACAGCATAGAATCCACGACCGCGTTTTGGTACTTATATAACAGGTGCGTACTGATAATGATAACCCCTAGATATCAATGCGTGACTTTTTTCTTTTCCGGACTGAATACGAATTCGTTAGAACATCTGTGTACAGTTCTTTCATCCATCTTATTCAATACAGTATGAGATTTGCCGCCTTGGTGACCAATAAACTGGGTAAATGGCGTGTGATTGGTGTTGTCATCAAAAGGCGTGGCCAGAATCTCTGTCGTCATTATTGGCTGCTCATTACATGGTAATTTGTTGTACGTCAATGGCGTCAATACTTTCCCAAGCATAAATAATTTACTAATATGACGATTTAAAAGCCCTTCAACTATTTATTAGTTACCTATGAACATTACGCAAAGAAAGACACGTACATATATACTGTTCAACTGTGAATAAAATTTGGTTGAATATTGGATGCATCACCGCGTTATGACGCTGTTGTTCCACGTTACTAAAGTTACAGCTTGGTAATGGCACAAAAGCGGTAAAAAATGTACACACTGGTCCGGACACACACGCTGAGTCTTTACAAAATTCTTCAGTATATTAAGTGGAGTTTTCAATTTTTTTAATGATAGAACTTATGTTGCAGAACTACGATTTATTCAAAAAAATGAACATGGACCCGACGTTGTGTATTTCAATGTTGATTTTCCCTGGCCGCTTGCAAACAGAGATGTAGGTATCATATAATGCAATTGGTATTTTTAAATACATTTGGCAGCCTATAAGGTGTTTGACTTCTCACGAAATAACAACCGAAGGAGTGATTGTTCCATCTTGGAACAGAATGTACTCACTATAGTCTATTCAGTTAGTTGTTGACTTTTTAAATACACAAAAAAGATGACTTTAAATGTTTGCAAATATTTCATTAAATTACTCATTTTTCTAGTATGTATATGCAAGAGAAATGCGAAGGATAAAGAGAAACGGAAAAGAGTATTTTACTATTATAATGCATAGTCTGTTAAGTCATAATATTCCAGTTAAACGTGGAGTTATTCGTGTCGATGATTTTCATCAAATGCTGGCGGTTGAACCGGTATCTACGGGAGGAAGTCGAGGTTGGTTTTGTGAAATATCAACCTATTTTTAACAGTAGCAGTGAAATGGTAGGCGTCTCCTTCAAAAGAAGGTTTACTTTGGTATACTATTCGATTTCTTCTCGTTCGTGCAATATGACACAACATCCGCCAATATGACTCTTTACTGCCAAGTGAAACAGAGCGGCTACATAAAGAAAGAGTTATCATGACAATAACCGATTTCACGGATTAGCATTAAAAAAATAAGTTTAGTCATATATATACAGAATCTAATACCCGAGTCGACCTTGGAGGTGCTTTACATTTCTATTTTTTAAAATTAGTACGCTTTAGTGACACGTCTCCCTGGTGCACAGCCTACTTTGCTTGCTTGTATTTACCAATTTTAACAGGGCAAGTCTAGATAATATCACTTTATTTAACTTTGAATATTTATTTTGTTTTCAGCTTTTATTCACTACTATGACGATCCGAAAGGTTCACTACCAAATTGGTTGATCAACTGGGCCGCTAAGGTAAAACAGTTATATAATGTCTAATTTTACATGCACAATTTTTGAAGAGACACGTCAACTCGTGTAAAAAAGCCACACTTTCCCTGAATTAGATATTGAGTGATTCAAGATATTATATAGTCATGGTATCACTGCCATTTATAATCTATACCTTTGTTAATTTGATAATTAACGGATATCTACGGAATAGAGGTAACATCTCAGTAGGATGTAGTACAGGCCTGGTCTCTTACCGACAACTCGCGGGATATGTTGCAGCGTACCGTTTTTACTTCTGCAATCATTTGTGTCGTATGCCTGCGCTTGAACAGACTGCCCAATCTACATTTTTCCAAGCACGAACAGCAAGATGTGCGTGCATTTGACTTTATCATGTGGTATCTAAACTTATCATATTGTCATTTTACAGACCGGAGTTCCAGGTTTTGTTCGGGATATACAAAGAGCTTGTAAAGGATTTGAAGAATTCAAAAAAAGACGCGGACGCGCCTGAAAATGAAGCCCAAGAGATTCAAGCCGTGCTGAAATTATATATACCAATAAGTGCAATGCTTTTTTTAGTATGTACACGTGATTTTCTGTATTCCAATAAATAAATCTACCTCGCCTGTACGTACGAGTGTCTTGATCTTTTACCCTTATTTGTACTGTCTATAAATTTCAGCTTTTTTCCGTCGTAGGTTTTAGGTGGCCCGTCATAGATTCCCATTTAGAAGTTGATTGATATATATTTATATCTTGCTTTCGACCAAGAATGTCAGGTGTTGCATTTATGTAAATATTGTTTGAAGATAATACTACGTATAAATTCCCTTTAATTATTTTCCTTTAATCAACTTGCGATAAGCCAGAATAGCGTTCCTTGGTTGTTTCTTTTAAAGTGGAGATTTGTCATGAGAGAAAGCAGCGTTTCCTCAAATTTTAGTTAGTTGAAAATCTAGCCATCGGTCGGGAATGCGGTCCCATCCAAACATGAAATTTTGGCCATCTCTATTTGGTCTGCTTCAACAGAGAAGCTGGACCGAAATTCGAAAAATTCACTTCACAACAAATGATATGTCGAATGTTTGGTACCGGGCAATGCTGGTTGATGTGATGAAGCGTCGACAAGTTTGAACCCATTCTACTAAGTGCTATTGCCATGCTCAGCTAATCACCTAGCTGCCTGCAAGCTCGAAATTTGTTTCACAATAGTGTCATGTCGTGTTTCCTCGCAATAAACCTAATGAACATATGATTTCGGGGAGTATTGTTTGCAAAAAGATTAGCGTTTAAGTATAATGGAGTTCGACAGTTAACTTGCTTAAAGGTTTATACATTTGAACATAGCACTCCGCAATATCCCGAAACTTCAAGCTTGTAATGATGGTATAATTCCCACTGCTCCTAATGTTGCCATATAATGAATTGTGAGATATTGGTGTACTCGCAAGTGTTTTTTTTCGCTCCCCTCCCCCTATCGTGTCGTGCCCAAGGATCGGGACTGTGGAAATCACTTCATATTTGAAATGCTATTGATTATTTGAATGTGATATTAAATTTATTAGAATACATTTACTCATTTGACTGACATTGTTCCTGGCGATGTTGGGTAACCATTTCTTTGAAGTTCCGAATCAAGTAGAGTCGTAGAGCGTCTTCTGTCAAGCTTCAGTCGTCTATTTGCAATTGAAATAGATCAAATTGTCAGTGCATATAACACGGAGCAACCATTTTAATGCTATCCTATGACACTTGCTTGAGATTTCAAGGTAAAAATAGAATTGATGTCCGCATAGTAAGGTATTTCAATTTGCAATTTAATTGAGGTTTCATTGTGGCAGAACCGCTTAGCCATTATTAATATATATACCAAAACGAAAGTTGCGTAGACTGCATTCTAACTTCACGGAAATGGTAAACAAATTGAATTATACGAAAATGTTTGAATGAGATTTAAAAAGGCATATGCGGTTTTGATAAATAAAATAGGTAGGCTATCTACAAACAACATAGAGGAGATTTTATATTTCTTACTCGTCATAAAATTATGTTGTGGAAACTGAGATATATATTCGAAAAGTTTCTTGCGGGGATAGGTTCCGCGATATTCCTTTATAATTTATTCAAAATAACTTTGAATTCGAAAAATAATGACTACTTATAATACCTAACTCAGCGGTCTATATATCGCCATGTTAAGAGGAAAGGCTTCGTAGAGATTTATTTAAAAAAACACGTTTTTTTATATCACGGATCGGTTCAAACGTAATACATAGTTATATATATATTCCGAATCTTCGAAAGTTAGCGCTTGATCGAAACATGAGGCAAACATATTACAATCCAATCCAATTTTCAACTCTAACCACATCACATTATTTATGAAGTCTTTTTTTTAGAATTTATATCATTCCACGGAATAATTATGCTATTGGCATCGCCGCGAATTAATTTTCGCTTTGCTTTGGCTATGGGCCATTTCCGCTGTCTCGTTTTGTAGTCTATCCTCCCGCATTTATTCCATATTGTGTGACGTACTATATAAACTAGCAACGCATAAGAAAGAAAGGTTAACGTGGTCGAATTCCATATTTACGACGATCGTATGAAGCCAACTCCTTGCCTTGTCACATTATACCAAACGCCTTTTTGGTCGTGTCCGCGCCTTACTGGCGGTAATAGCAAACAGAGATTGGTATGTCAACAGATGTATAATATATTCGCCAGTCTATCGTCACCCAGTTAGGTACACATGAATACAGACGTGCATTTCCGTACTGAGTGATGTTGTAATGTGTAGGACATTTGTTTGATAGCTTCGTAGATAAATCAACGTATATCGTTGGTCGTAGTGCTGGAGTACCGGTATGCTGCATGGGCGTTGTCAATCTAGGTCAAAGGCATCTGGATGTTTTTATACTACATGATTGTCATTTATAATACGAGAACATTTTTCTCGCTATTAAAAAAAGATATAGAATGTACGCGAGGAATAACCATCAAAGGTTTTAATACCACGGGTTATTCGTTACAAAGTGTGGCACGACCGCTTTTAGTGTCCTGTGTTATGAATATGCGTTAATAGAAATTTCCATTGGATTCCATTTAGTAAATTTTGAATCTTCTTATTTGTCAGCTCTAGTTCAGCGTTTCATTGCAGTATTATGTTCCAGCGTTTGGGACCACACAGTAACCAAAGAAATAGATACATTTCCTAATAAAAGCTTAATTCATGAAGCGCAGTGGGGAAGTTGGTTTGTTTTATATAGAAAAGAATCGTACATTTAGGTTTCATGAGACTACGGACTGCAATTAAATGATCTGGATAAAAGCGTATTCTGGTCGTGTAGCGCAACTTATAGGATAGGACACAATTCAAATGCATACGGTGCCGGTATGCCATACTTTATCCCCGCTTTACCCACCCGCCTTTCGTATTTTTGTAAACTAATTAATTCATGATGTTGAAACAACGAGCATAGAAAATATTACATTCTTTTGACCAACAGTGACTCAATTAATTTTTTGAAAAACCTCATTAATGATTTTGAACCATTTTCGGACAGATTTTCGCACTAGTATAGAAATTTGAAGGTTTAGGAATGAAGTACAAATCAACATTATGGAATCCAGATGGGGCAACTTCTAGTATTCGCAAATGGAGCTGTATGTTAACAATAACACTGTTGTCTTTTGTTACTCAATTCTCTTCGGTTGATGGTGGGTGTATGGACACTGGAATATGTTGCCCAGGACGAAATAACTCCTGTCGATTCACCCTCCAGTTACAGACCTGTTATTGTGATGAGTTTTGTAGCAAGTCAGAAGACTGTTGTGACGATTACGATTATTTCTGCAGAAAACAGGGTAAATTTATTTTTAACCTTCACTCGAAACAATGCTTCAAGCTCCAATTTTTTCAAGTCTTTTTCTTGCCTCAATTAACACATAATTGCAAGAAATTCAACGTTTCGAGTGTGCCATGATTTTCGAGAAATATCTGCGTTTGTGACGGATTACATTGGGTACTAAATGCTACTGATTTTTTGATTTGCAAAAAATTCAATACTGTATTTGTGAAATAGGATTATCCGAGTGCCAAGTTTATTTTCACTGTTTGATTTTTACACTGCCGACCATCTCTCAACTACAACGCCGTCTATTGCTTGAACAAGTCGTAAAATTGTTTGCTTTGGTATTATGCAGACAATGTAGACAAGCCGGGGAAGATAAAAAGTGTTTTCAAAGGGATTCAAATAGATCAAAATGTGACAGCATACATATTTGATATTTTTGAAAGCACGATCTATATTTGAAATAAGGTACACAGCATTTTAAAGTCAATATTAATTTAATAAGATATGTATATATTTGTTTTGCGCTTTGTGAGAATCGATAGAAATCAGGTACAACCATAAAATGGGCTAATATATTAAAAATGGAGCGTTTTAGGAAAAAATCAGCTAAATTTTCCGGAAATGGTTTTTGACAAGTGAAGGCTAAATTACTCTACAATTGGATCGCAGAAAATGACGATTCAACAGCAAATATAAACTTTTGCTTGTAACTCAAAGTTTATCAATGCCTGCCTAAAGAAATATCATGGTAGTTAGAAAGGGGATTTTAAATATGTTTAATAAACATTCATACCGAATTAGCAAGAGATACAATTCTAGAGAATCATTGAATGTGGTCTTCGTGTAATTTCAGTAATGTTCACATTTGCTTTTCTGCAAAATACTTGTACAACATACGTTTTTGTGCACTGAAAGGTTAGGAATTTAGCCGATGAATTTTATATAATATGCAGTTACATGCTCTCATTTAGGCTATGATATTATTAACACTTCTGCAGCAGCGCCAAAGAAATACTATTTGCAACAAAATAGCAAACTTTATTGTCGTCATTCAGATTTGACAAATCAGCCTGTTGCAGAGCTCTATTTCCCAGGGGGTCTTTGCAACTCGATGATTTCATCAAGGTGAAAAAAGACGTTCATGACGTCGTATATTCAGCCGCCACACGCGTTGATATATATGTACCGCAGAATACTCTTATAATCATCTCTGTAGTGTTAACGCACACATTTTGTCGTGCTTAGTTTGTTTCAGCACTTTTTCTGCTACTTCCACACGTATGAAAACTTCGGGTTATGCGGCCGTATTTACCTTATAGTATAATTATGAACTGACCTTATTAAAAACTTTATCAGCAACATATTATATATCAGAAGGTCGGCCTTTAACGCAGCTGTTTCCAGTGCTCGCATATTCGCGTTAGGTAAACTTACCACAGGGAACTAATACGCGTCAACTTCAAAGTAATCCCACGAGAACCACTTGTAGGGTTTTAGACGCATCTTGCTACCGCGAGGTTAAAACCCTAAAACGCGCACCAAGTGACCAGACCTTTTTTCATAATTTCCATAATCCTTGTCTATACATATAATCATACTGCGTTAGGCTTTAAATTTCCAGATACTTTGATAATAATTACATCAGCATAAGTCGTTGCCAACGCATATATTTCCATGCTGCTCGACCCGCTGTTATTCGTTGACTAATTGGGCCTTGCTCACACATGCTGAATTGTAATCTCTTGTCAAGGGGATAATATGGGAATGAACTGCTTTTAAAATTAAATTATACTCTGTCTTGTATGGGTCATAAATAGGGCAAACAGGAAAAGGAAATGTAACGTTTTTTCCAGTGGTTTTCAGCATTCTTGGCGACGCCGACGAGGAACCCCAATGAAACATTCTGGCGTTTCGAGAAACCCTGTGCTGTGCAATACTTTAATTGTGTTATACAAATAGAAGAATTTTGTGTAAACTATAAATATATATAAAAGCAAATCTAATACTGGCGAAGCAAAATTATTTATAAGAGTAACAAAGTTATTAATAGTGGATATTTGATTATATTCTACAATTATACAATATATATTAAATAATATAGACTCTCGGATTTGAATGTAAACTTGCGGGACATTATATTGTCGTGTAACCCTGGTTATAAACCACTGGCTTAAACAATACTAATGTTACACTAATCAAAGAATCCCATGTTATATCGTTCATTTCAACTAACGACTTTGTGATTGTTCACTCAAATTTTGACAAGATAAAATATTTACTGTAATATTAATTATTTTTATTATTCAAGATTGTGTTCTGACGTACTGGACTGAATGGAGCGAATGTTCTGGTAGATGCAGCAAAGGAAGACAAGAAAGAACACGTTCAATACATATACCTGCCTCAAGTGGAGGGGAACCTTGCGGACGTCGTTCGCAAGTTCGAACTTGTTACGATACCTCCCGTAGCTGCCAAAAGAAAGGTACAGTAAATACTTGTCGCATTAGAAATATTTTTGAATATAAAGAACTATACAATATTTAATGATGCGATGTTAAATATCTTCGTTTTATATATAATTTGATAGTCAATGTAATTTCTTTCAATTATCATATTCCAATTAGCATAGTTTAAAAAGTAATTCAGCTGCGTATTATTGAATAAATCATCTCCATCAGACAAATGAACTGAATACCATAACTATTTACTTAACCTTGTAACATATAGTTACTCATAGATAATCTACCTAACTTTATTCAAGACATGATTGCTTATAATCTTATGCAATCACGTCGTTGTATTTTACAGGGGGAATAGTAGTGGTACATGTATGTATGAGGTTAAGCAATATGAATATAAATTCCTTATCACGTGGATTTGCCCAATAAAATGTATTGAAGGCTTTGATTCAATTTCAGAATTTCATTTCGGCCTCTTAAAATGCCTTCCATTTTCTTTGCTTACAACTGTTCATTCTCAGCAAATGCTTTATGGCGATTGTATTGGTATGAAGTCAATGTTTGTTTACTTGTCTACTATATCACAAGTCGTTGTTTTCATTTTCAATTTTGCATAATAAATTTGATATATATCTATTCTCTCGAGTAGTTGTTCAAATATTCTTCGAATTAACCAACTACCACGGTAATGAATAAAATGCCAGCGCAGGAGACTTTTTCAGTTTACTGTTCATAACAGTGTGTTTTTTTCTCTGCACATTTTTGTGAGAACAACGTTTTCTATAGCCGCTTCAGAAATTTATAAACTCGCATAGTGCGTCGTAATATATTGACATGATTCTATATTAATATATTTGTTATCAGATAAAGATAAACAAATTAATGTCACTCGGCGGGAGGTTGGTCATCGATACTGTGTATATGTGCCACGCATATATATGGAAGTCGTTTAACAATCAATTTTAAGCACATTCGTACCGTGATAAATTGTTAAATTAAGAAATCGCAATTGTAAAGCAGAATTTGGTAGAAGTACTATTGTCTATTTGGTGAATGCACTATTGTCAAAAATATTATCATTTCAGAAGTTGCACTGTTGCTGCCAACCTATTACAAATCGTATCGAAATCGTCCGAATAAATATTTCACAATAGAAAACGTTAAACGACCAAGGTGAGCTACACTAGCATTTTCCAAACTCTACTTGCGTTTTTCATTTTGATTTTCACTGTTAGGAACGCAAGGAATGTATTATCTTCATTCCATCCAGTTTTTTCCTCTTTAATTTGAATACTTTATCAGTGTTCATTTCGAGAGAATTATCTTTGAGCAAGGGACTCACGCTTAGTATAGTTATAGCTTTTTGGCCACGTTTCAAAAAGAAATATGAATGCATATACCAGCCTTTGTTATTGGAATATTTTTAATTAGTACGCACATTCGGTTTCCTGTGAGCTAGTTTATAATTTGAATCTCCAAGTCAAGAAACGACTGGCAAATTATACACATTTGAAAACGTGACAGAACGCGATATCCATCTATATGACCTCTAATGGCGGTTAGTTATACACATCAGTCAGGCTATTTATGGATATCATTATATAGTCCGTAAGAACTTGGAAATAAATTCTATCCATAAACTATATTCTTTTTCTCCTTTAACTTTTCATACCTACCCGCCTCGTAGTAAAAATCTGACGGTTTAGCCGATCATGAGCTGGCTCTCTATTAACCACTCCCAATGTTCGATTAAATATGCAAGTGTGCCGTAGTGGTTTTTAATCATTCGTCATACTTACCTGAAAACGTGAAATGGAATGCAGTTAGCTCAACATTTATATTTTTCAATATGTGAAACTGCCTTTGAATGCGTGTGGGCACAGAATGTCACCTGATTGCGACATGTTTATAAAACCTCCCAAAAATATACTTTTTATTTCTTCTCTTGCATTATTTGTAATGAGTTGGTGAATATATATATTGTAAAAAGTGTAATATAATGAAACATATGTCGTATAATAGTTTAGTCTGTAAACTGACTTGCATGGGTTGTCCGGGGTGTTAAGTTCGAGAGACAGTGTGACAGCCACGCAACGCACTAAAATCTATCTGTGCAAACTAAAAAGACTACCAGTGATATTACAAACCCCCATTGAGCCCGGTTGGGTGATTCGCAATCATGATATGTTGCATTGTTTTCAGCTACTGTATTCGTTACTACCTCAAGTACATATCACCATATTGCCGATATAATACACCTTGGCATATGATGAATGTGGGAGATCTTGTATGCGTGGAATGCGACGATATTGCAATGAATAAAGAAGGCTTTTGCAAAGGTATATTTTCCGTAAATTTCCACTAGGTATTAGGTTGTTAAATTTATGAGGAAAATGCCTTTGGGGAATGCTTTTGCGGTGTTCAGCTTAAATTTGGACAATCCATGCGACCCAAACCAAGGATGCAAACATAGCATGAACTTGTCCATACTCAATACAAAAGCTATGATGGTTGATAACAGAGTCCAAGTTAGAACGGTTAGAGCTTGTGTTGTTTCGTTTCATAAAGCGAATACTTTATGTATCACATTCTTAAATCCCTTCCATTTGTATCACTTTATAACAGTTTTTATCCTCATTTAGAACGTTTTCTTTTTCATTACTTTTGGATATTAAAATGATTTCATTAGATTAATTCCCCAGATAGAACTGGAAATTGAATAAGAAGTTATATGGAAATGGTATTCCATTACGTCACCAAATACAAATATATACGTGTATTTGGTATAAATTTAGGCACAGTTTGGCATGGGACAATGAAATTCATTTTTGGTTTATGCTCGAAAGGAGACATTTCGAAAATTTAGTCGGCTGTGTTGTATCAGAGGTTCAAGCACGTGTAAAACACGACCCCCACCCTAAGAGTTTACTCCGTTCAATGTAGTATAAAAAGTGCAGTTTCAATGTAGTATAAAATGCGACCATAGACATTATATCATACCTTAAATTGAGCTTGACGACTCATCTTCGTATATATATGTATATATCTTCATGTATATTTCATGTTAATGAAGTAGGTCAGGGGTCGGCAACCTTTTGTCGCTCGCGGGCCAAAATTAGGGGTTGCAAGTCATTGGCGGGTCGCACATATTTTTAGAAAGTTGAAGACCGAACGAATGATACATTTTGTAACAAAAATCAAGCAGTGATACATCTCTCAAATAGAATATAGATTTATTCCCCCATTTCATTGCATCTCAAAAAACTTCATTTGAATATTTTCGGCGCCATTGAACCCTTTGCACTTAGCATCAACTTTTCTTCGTTGTTGCCATTTGTCTAATTATAATTAAATTATAGGCTCATCAAACGAGTAATTGTGAATTTTATACTTGGTAGATTATAATATATACAATTTAGTCTACACGTGTATCACAATAAATTATGTTGCATAAAGAATATAATCGTCAAACAGTTGATTTGTCACTATAATTCAGTGAAGCGTCGGGGCACGTAGGTTGCCGACTCCTGGAGTAGGTTATGATATATACTATATAGTATATACATATTATATATATGGATATACCTTATTACCGAGCTATTACAATTATATACAGGCGAATATTTTACTTTTTGTAGGCGCTAACACAAAATCATCTGGAAGCTGGAGAGGAATTGCCACACAAAACTGCTACGGAACATGGAAGGTAGAAAGTGGTATTGAAGAAAATTGTGAATGTGGTCATAAGCACGGATATGATTTTTTATATGTTTGATTTATGGACATACGGCAACTTGTACACCTCACTTTTCAATACCGTGTAGCACCACATGTAACCAATCCAGAAACACAAATATCACTTCGTGGTGATTAATAATAAATTGTAAAATACATTTTGCATTCAAAACTTTGAAAATCCCAATATACACATTCATTTTCATATGATGCAGTATTATCCAAATATTGTAATATATATCTAGTACAAATGTCGATGAGAAAACCATTAATTCATGTTATCATTCAATGAGTACATATACAAATACATTTAAAAAGCATCATCTTTTGGAATTCAGCCACGATAGACAGCAATGTGGCAGGTACATGCAGTAGAGGATATATAGTATGCTATATAGCAGGGGTGGCCAACCTGATTTCGGCCCCGATCGACTAAAATCTTCAGAATAGTTAAGCAGATAACTGCACACACGCATACAAAATATTCCACCGCTGCCAACAATCTCAGCTTTGTGGGCAATCCCTTATGAAATCAACACAAAACTTGTATTTTTTATGTTTCATTTAGGTTGGTAATTTGAATATTTAATTGTACCCGAAGTGAATGTTTCAATATTTATTTAAGATTTACTCGAGACGTGGCGATCGACTACTCGAGACGTGGCGATCGACCGGTCGATCGCGATCGACGTGTTGGCCACCCCTGCTATATAGTATATATACTATAGTCGGAAATAAACGTGGGTGCTATCACTGCTAATGTTCACAGACGTAAAGTAGTAGCTGGTGTAAATATAAGATAAATATAAGGTAAATCAGATGCAAGAATGCGCGGGTGCAAATTACCGTGGATGCAATTTTTGTACGGATGAAAAAATCTGTGGGTGCAAAAATGTTTGCGACCACTTGCACATAACAGTATAAGGTAGTGTAATTTAAAGGGATTCACAACTTTCAGGCAAATCATCAAAAGGATCCATAGCGCTGAAAAGTATGCGTAAACCACTGGCTTAACTTAAGAAACTAATTGCTCAGCGTCAAAGTGGTAAGATGACTGTGAAAGTCTATTCAACCCAAGTCAGCAGAGGTCAAAACAATAAATTGGTGAAGTACCTAATTTTAAGTCAGGATTCTTTATTTCGATTGGACTACAAGCACACAATATATTGTTTTTTTTTATTCCCCACTACTTAATTACTGAAGTACCAAACTGGTTTAGCGATAATTTTGTGCCGTCGACGAATGGCGCTCAAGCTTTGAAACATTAACTATAAAGGAGTATGTAGCATAGCGTCGTCGTTGTTGAAATATTGGTACTGTCGTGTTTCCCCGAAAATAACACCTAGCCTGAATTTTGAAAATAATTTTATTATAAGCTCTCCTTTTAAAATAAGACCTAGTCGATAGTGCGGAATTTTTTTTTAAATTAGTCAATACAAAAAACTCTCCTACACGTTTTAAATACTTAATAGCAGTTATTTTTTTTTTTTATGTAGAAACGTGTTATCTATAGAGGACTTGCACGGATCACGTGACTTTGTTACTTACCTCCGCCATTTTATACGGCAGAACACAGAAACGTCCAGACCAGGCCAAGCCGCTCGCATCTGTCAGTTGCAAGTCGTATTTTTCGTTTACGTTTTGTGTGGCTGTTAAAATGGTTATTTCATATTGTGCCGTTTGGCTATACGTATAGACAACGAAATGGATCTTCATTTATATCACATAAGTTTTCAGAAGATCCGGAACGTCGAGCAAGGCGAATATCATATATTAGCAGGACTGCTTGGTGTCCACGTCATCTCGCTTGTGTTGGTGGTGTGTTGATAATGTGCCGTTATCAATTTCTTAAAATATTCATAAGCTCCGTCATTTTAATGGAAAGCGTTTGACAAACTGCCGTTATTAGCACGCCTAGGGTCATGGGCATACTTGCGTGTCCACTTGGCTTGTATAAGAAATTAATCATCAATCGCCATAAGGTATTGTTAGTAGGTGTTGTAGTTAGCAGGTAATCTATGATACTCTATTAGTAAGTGTGAAAAGTTGAATAGATAACTCAAGTTTAACGCCAGTGGTCATGTCAAAATAACCAGAATTCAATCGATTTCGCCATCTAGGAATACGCTCGCCACCGCATCTCTGATTACACTGATAGTTTCACAGGTTTCAATCTCATGCGGGGATAGTCATGTGCGAGAGGATTGCAGGACTCCTCCAACTGAGGGTAGTTCACGTACATGCTTTTGAAAACAAATAACTGGCTAACTAATCCCGACATGGAATGTTAATCGTTGGAGAGGCTGTTGTTCGCCATATGATTAAGCCGTCTCACCTGCAATCATCTCCACGGATACCCCCAGCCCCCCATTGATTCCATAGGCAGGAGGTTGTGGGTCGGTACTGCTTAGGATGAGTTTTTTTGCTTATAAATGCATATTACGCGTTCCACATAAATCTTTTTTGCTTAAACTATACGACTGTTTTCAAGGTCTAAACTAAAAGATCCAACTGCTTTTTTTCTTTGGTATATGCAGGAATTTTCAGTTTGGCATGCATGGGTCAATGGAGTCACTAACATCAAAATCTCTATCAGCAAGGATAAGATCACCTGGAAGTAACATTCCATAATTTAGTGTCAAAAATGTATCTACCCCCACAGCCCTTTTTAAATGAAAGATATGATGCCTTGATGGGTAATTTATATCTAATATTTTACAGTGTTATGGTGCTTCTAGTGAAAAGGGATTTGGGCGGCTGCTTTTAAAGTGGTAGGTCTAGTTTAGTCGAAAGACACATTAAATATTTATGCTAACAACTGCAAAGTGCAATTTGCAACACATACAAGTTAAAAGAATTTGTTGAAATGGTGATAGCGATGTAGTTCTTTAAGAAATAGTTTGAAAATATCAACCGCAACTTTAAAATTTTGTTTGTGGGCAAGCCAGTCCATAGCAAATTACGAAAAATTCAGGTTTCCATTAAGCTGTTCAAATTTCCAACTTCACTCATGTCACTTTCACTGATTTTTTGTTGCACAAATTCCTGTTCTTCATTTATCTCTATAATATCAGCTACGGTACACTGTGCTCGATCTTTCAACACCTCACCCATGCCAGCTTTTGCCTTCCTTCAAAATTCAACTTTTTTACAACTATTCTTTTCCTCTTTTGGAATGACGAATATTCATTCAAATATTGATGGGACATAATCAGCTGATAATGGTTTATCATTCTTTTTTCCTGAAAAGAAGTTACACACTAATCATTTGTACAGTGTCAAGTTTGCGTATCAATGAATTGATGTCGCTAGGAGCTTCTGGTTATTTTCTGCATGACCACTGGTGTTAAACTTGATCTATTCAACTTTTCACGCTCATTAATAGATTACATGCTAACTAACGAAACAATACCTCCTGATCATTGATGAAGACTTCTTAGTCTTACCAAAACGCAAGTATATATGCCTACCAATAACGGCAGTTTAGAATATGTTTCCCATTAAAATGACGAAACTTATGAATACTTAAAGAAATCAATTAACACAACATCATCACCTACTACCATCGAAGTGAAGTCCACAGACACCAGCGAGATGGCTGGGACACCAACCAGTCCTCCCGATAGATGTTATCCACCTTGTACGACGTTCCGGATCTTTTGAAAACGATGGAATATAACTAAAGGTCCATTTCGTTGTCTATATGTACAGCCAACGGCACAATACGAAATAGTTTTTTTTTACAGCCCAGCAAAACGGAAACGAATAATGCGACTTGCAATTAACAGGAGCGAGCGGCCTGCCTGGTCTGGACGTTTTAATTTTTTTGCCGTCCAAAATGGCGGCGTAAATAAAGTCACGTGATCGGTGGAAGTTCTCTATAGAGGACTCTACTCTCTATAGAGGACTTGCACAGGTCACGTGACTTTGTTTACTGGACGGCAAAAAACAAAATCTTCCATCTGGCTCCTGTCAGTTGCAAGTCGGATTGTACGTTTCCGTTTTGTTTGGCTGTTGAAAATGATTATTCCGTATTGTACCGTTGGCTGTACGTATAGTATAGACAACGAAATGAATCTTCAGTTATATTCCAAGTTTTCAAAAGATCCGGAACGTCGCGCAATGTGGATATCATCTATTGCTGTATTGGCAGGACTGCTTGGTGTCAAGTCCAGAAGTCATCTCTCTTGTGTTTCACTGTTTGCGGACAGCACCTCGTTGATGGTGAGTGATAATGTGCCGTTATCAATTTCTTTGAATATTCATAAGCTCCCTCATTTCAATGGGAAGCAGATGACAAACTACTATTATTGGTAGGCCTACTTGCTTGTCTACTTACAGAATTGACTTGTGTATGGAATTAATCATCAATTGCCATAAGGTACGGTATTGTTTCCCTAGTTAGCAGGTAATCTATTGGTAAGTGTGAAAAGTTGAATAGATAACTAAAGTTTAACGCCAGTGCTCATGCAAAAAATAACCAGAATTCAATTGAATTCGCCATCTAGGAATACGCTCGCCACCGCATCTCTGATCACCATAGGATTTATCTGAGGGAGAGGATTGCAGGTGCAATATCGTACGGTTACCATTCTATGTCGGGATTTGTTAGCCAGTTATTTGTTTTCAGAAGCATGGACTTGATGGTGGGGTCGTAACTCGTAACCGACCAGCGGTCGTGTGAACCACCCTCAGTGGGAGGAGAGCTGCAATTCTCTCGCAAATAACTATCCCCGCATGGGATAAAAACTTGTGAAACTACCAGGATATCCTAAAAACTACCGTTATTGTTAGACATATTTGCGTTTTAAATTGAAAGAAATCTTCATCAATGGCCAGAAGGTGTTGTCTGATTGTTTCGTTAGTTAGCAGGTAATCTATTACTGATCTGATACACAAACTTGGCACTGTCAAATGATGATTAGTGTCTCATTTCTTTTCAGGAAAAAGGAAAGATAACCCATTATCAGCTGATTATGTCCCATCAATATTTGAATTTTCGCCATCTCCAGAAAGGAAAAAAATAGTTGGAAAAAGGTGGATTTTGAAGAAACGCAAAAGGCAGGACCAACAAATTCTATTAACTTGTATGCGTTGCAATATCACTTTGCAGTTGTTAGCATAAACATTTAATGTGTCTTTCGACTAGACCTACCACACTTTAAAAGGAGCCGCCTAAACCCATTTTCACTAGAAAAACCATAACACTGTAAAATATTTGATAGAAATTACCTCTCAATGCATCATGTTTTCCATTTGAAAGGGCAGTGGAGGCAGATACATTTTTTACTCTAAATTATGGAATGTTACTTCCAGGTTATCTTATCCTTGCTTATAGATATCTTGATTTTAGTGACTCCAACTGACCCATGCATGCCACACTGAAAATTCCCACGTGTAGGCTACCGATAAAATTAAGCAGTTGGAGCCTTCAGACCTTGAAAAAACAGTCGAATCTGAGCACGATGGATTCATGTGAAACACGTAATATGCATTTACTGTACGCACATAACTGTCCCCGCATGATATTGGAACCTGTGAAATTACCAGGGTGTTCAGAGATGCGGACCACTGGCGTTAAACTTAAGTTATCTAGTCAATTTTTCACACTTTGTAATAGATTACCTGCTAACTAGGGAAACAATACCTCATGGCGATTGATGATTAATTCCTTACACAAGTCAAATAGGCCTACGCCTACCAATAACAGTAGTTTGTCATCTGCTTTCCATTGAAATGAGGGAGCTTATGAATATTTAAAGAAATTGATAACGGCACATCATCACTCACCATCAACGAAGTGCTGTCCGCAAACAGTGAAACACAGGCGAGATGACTTCTGGACTTGACACCAATCAGTCCTGCCAATACAGCAATAGATGAAATCCACATTGCGCGACGTTTCGAATCTTTTGGAAACAGTGGAATATAACTGAAGATCCATTTCGTTGTCTATACTATACGTACAGCCAACGGAACAATACGAAATAACCATTTTCAACAGCCAAACAAAACGGAAACGTATAATCCGACTTGCAACTGACAGGAGCCAGCTGGACGTTTTTTTGGCCGTCCAGTAAACAAAGTCACGTGACCCGTGCAAGTCCTCTATAAGTGAATAATAAATATAAAATCGTAAAGATATACTACTACGGTTTTTATTGGACACGAAGTGGACATAACGATCGTTTCAATATTATGTTGTTGTTGTTGTTGTTCTTGTTCTTTGACACGTTTTTAAAAAGTCGCTTTTCTCTTCGAATACTGGACCAATTGCTTTGAATTTTCAGTGGTTAAAGATTAATTTTTTCGCTAGAAGGCTATTACTTTTATTTATTTCAAAATTTTGCGTGAATTCTATGAAATTTGATATTTCGTCTAAAATTTTGCTGTATTATTTTTTATCCATGGGAACACGGATTTTAGTCAGTGTCATGACTGGCTGTACGTTTTGATTCTGCAAAATTCTTGCTACTGGAAATTCAGAACTTTTTTGAGGGTACCGGTAGCGTCAAAGGTACCGGTAAGGACTGATTCGCTCTGGTCTAACGTGTCCATATATTTGTGCGTAGCTCTCTTGTATTTTGTATATTTGTAAATCTCGTAATTTACTATTTTGTAGTTTTGTTTTTGATAAATGAAAATAGAAAACATCTCCCAAAAATAAGCCCTAGTGTTATTTTCAAAATAAAATTGAAATAAGCACTTGTCTTATTTTCGGGGAAACGCGACACAGACGAGACAGCGTGGCGTAGTATTTGGGTGGGTAACAAGTTTTCTCGTGTAAATGCGTTAGTGCATGAATTTTCTCATATATGGGTCTCCTTTATTTTTAAGTTAATGAGAGCAACTTAATTTGAATACATTCTCTTTAAAACAATCATAAAATTAGGTATTAGGACAGGGGTGGGCAACTTCTCTAGTCGGCGGGCCAGATGTGGGAAAATAAAGTCCTCGGTGGGCCGGATTATAACATGAATAGTATTCAATATCTTAATCACATATTTATTCGCTAATGCAAGAAAGTAAATTTTAAATCGCGTTTAAAGTAAAGTTTAAACTTTACTAAAATTAGAGACCAAAAAACACATAATGAATTTATCATAATGTACTAAACGTGTAATAATGTAATATCATACGGTAATGTAATATCATAATGATGTACAGTCTGCGGGCCGGTCAAAATCTAGTCGCGGGCCGGACCTGGCCCTCGGGCCGTATGTTGCCCACCCCTGTACAGTATTAGGAGTTCGTCTGACTAAAGTTAGCACAGAAGTTTGTACTGTACCACCAGTAGGCGTACGAGCTAAGTCTATTTTTAGAAATTGATGAGCAGACGTGATGTTTGCTGCGTGATATTGCTGCTTGACTTCTGATCATTGTTAACTTTTCTGTTGTATCTGCGAAAACATCAAGAGTGCAAAATGTCGAATTACTTAAGAACTAATACGAAGATGGAGCTTCAGAGGGCCCAAGTAAGACGATGTTAACTTGCCTTATTTCAGTACCGGTACGGTATTTCTTTACCGTACCGATAAGTTCTCAACGTTACACCTAAAACAGTAAAAGACAGTATCGATACGGTCTGCCAGTGAAAAGTGGACAAATAACTGATTGCTAGTGTGTTAAGTTTGGCCTTGAATCTTCCTACTGTCCTAAGTTTAACCTGTTGCAGAATTCAAATTGTTTGATCATACATCATATATGCAATTCAGCAATTACAGAATTATTATTGCGTATCCACATTGCCTGCATTTCCTAGCCAATTTATTACACCTTGGGTAACAGTTTGGATTAAAGAATCTTTTCTCTGTTTCTAGAGATGATTACTACATTCTTCCGAGTAAGAATTTGCAAATTTTGAAATTGTGAGAAAATCATAAAATAACACGATGAATCATTGACAATTAAAAAAATTATTTTTTGGGCCTAAGTTTAGTAGAAGTTTTAACCCCCTATTTATGTGCCATTTACACCTCAAAACAAAGCTAAGATTGCCACTGATACCTGGATACTGTGGTACCTAAGAAACTTTTATTTTTGGGGATCTTTCCAATACTGAGTGTGGGTTATTATCTCACCATGTAAACATTCTGACATTAGTTGTAACTTTAGTCTAATGCAATCACTATATACAGATATATTTATATAAACAGTGATAGCTCGGTAGTCAAACATAATTCGTTAATTATATGATTGATGTTCGACAACCGATTTGTTCGAACTTTTTTCCATGTCAAACCAGGGTAATTTGTTTAATCCGTTCTTAGACATTCCAGAACACCGGAAATATTAACATAACCTGTAGCAGAACAATAATTATCTAAATTTGTACACAATTACGATTGAACGTAATAAAGATAAATATATAAATTAATTTTGTATCAGTTATTGTACGCTTAGCAAATTTCTGTGGGTTCTTCTACTTTTTTTGGGCTTCCTGTGCATATATTTGATAATCGCTTTTTTTCAATGGATGGTCAAGAGGCAGACACCATCTCACTCGGTGGCACGCTTGGATGTTTGAGCACTGAATTTTTGTTCGAGTAGCTTACCGCAGCATTTTTCACTAGAATTTATTTGTTGACACCTGTATTGTTCGAGTAGAGTCGTTCAACTACAGAGGTATCACTGTAGTGCTATATTTATACGTTTGATTGCCACTAGAATAAAAGAATAATAAATTCTACATACGATTATCTGGCATTAGAAGTCAACACTATCAAAAACATGTTGTTGATAATATAAAAGCATTTTATAGGAAAATTTATATTATTGAACAAAATAAACTTCATGGCAGTATTATGAAGCTATTTGCAAAAGTACCACATCTATCATTTTTCAAATGAGGAAAACTGGAAACTTCTGTGTACTTGGTTACGTATATATAAATGATATATTTTGGGAGATGTTTTTTTGAATATACTACGAACAATCATTGTGTACGTTACTTTTATAATGGCAATTATCGCTCAATTCTTTCATCAGGCTGAGGCGCAGCGGAAGAAATCATTGAATCATCAGTCGAATAAGACTACGCAGTCACAAGCTATCTTGCTCCCGAATGCAGTTGCAACATCAGCAAGTGTTCCTGGGACGGTTCTGCATGTAAGTTGGTTGTTTAATATTCCTGATTCCTTTTTTTGGCATCTGGCCCATTGCCAGAACAAGGCTGTGATAAGAATAAATTTCATAGGTAAAAGGCTATGAATGCCTTGATCATATGGAGAGTCTTGCAGCTGAATCATCTTATATTTGGCTTGTTTAATCTTTTTGTTTTTAAATGCATGGGTGTGGTTTGTGATGAAGGCTGCAACCAACTAACATACTTGACATTAATATCTTGTTTTATACAATATAATCATACTTTGTTTAATATGAACACAAACAGTTCCAGAGCAACATTTGAATGCAATTTGAGTATATGAAAATAGAATATAAAAATTACTGAACATAAACACTTCCAAGAATTAGGTTTGGCATCTTTCTTTTTGAGCAAAGTTGTAATGAATGTTATGGTATGACCTTGATTGGAACCTCGCCCTGAAGGCAACACTTGGATTTATGAAGAAGCAATGTTTTGAAATGGGCAAACACAATCTCATAATATTTTGTAATTGAATGAAAATTAATGAAATATAAAAGATTTTGTGAATAATTAACATAATCAAATTGATGGCTAGTAAGAAAACGTATAAATTATGGCATATAAGTATTTTTAGTGTGATTTCATTTAATGTTAAATTTAATTCATTTCATTTCTGAACAAAAATTGTTTCAATTCGGAATGTTTTCATCGAACCATTATTCATCAACATGAAGAAATATGCCCCTTTTTAATTAAATATTCTAGTTGAATAAAATTGAAATGAATATTGTTTCATACTTTTTGAAATTTTTTTCTTATGTTCGTTTCAAAATTAAGATTTCCAAGTTTTCTTGATTTGCGATTCAAGCTTGGATTATTATAGTGTTTGTCTTCAGTTTAAATATAAATTTTATCGTACTATTCAATATTTCTGACCCGAAATGTTCATACAATAATTTGAGGTACACATTAATATTGATGATATACTAGTTAACAATACCATAGATTGTTTTTATCAGAATAAAATATTTTTCAATTTTCTCTGTCGAAATAATGTTTAATGTTGTTGTTATTGAATTGAATTGAGTTTTTCAGCCTTCCCATTGGAGACCTTGCTTTCATTTTTTTTTTTATCAAAATTATTAAACAAAATCAAACTTCTTTAGGTTCAAAGTAATTTACAACATCCTACACGATACCATGTCGAACAGAAACAGAGAAATCAGGTTGCAAATTATCTCAGCAATTCTGTCGGAACTTCTAAAGTAGTTGTAAATCAATTGCTGCGTCCTCATGGCAGTATGCCAGACACAAAAACAATAGGTATGTTAAAAATGTTAAAATGAAATGTGTTGAAAAAACTAGCATTTTGAAAATGGTAAAGGTGAAATGAAATTCAGCAATTTATTAAATCTAAGTAAAGTAAGACAAGACTGTGTTGGGAGTCATAGTTTAGCGTCTTTGCGTGTATTGCATTCAAACTCTGTAGAGCTATAACCAGAGTCAAACTGTTGAATTCCCCAAGCAAAAGTGAAACACTTTTTGCATTAAGCCATTAACCCAAAATTTCATCAGTAAGTAAAGAGTGCATCTGTGAGCATTTCATCTGAGTCGAAATTTTTGTAGCCACTTCAAATTCTGATTAAAGTTCACATCCCTGGTCTAATAAATAGTTCTCCTTTTTCAAAACTGGCACTTAATACTCTTTATTATAAAAAAGGTCATAAACTACTATTATCAATGTTGCGACCAGAGCATATCAATTTATTCAAACTGATTACAAATGACTGTACAAATACACATACATCATGCTGTATTTTGATTGCAATTATACTTATTAGTTATTATTATTAAGAGATGTGCATTGGTCATCCAGATTATCATTTTTTGTCTTTGACTCATTTTCTGTAGGTGTTGAAAATAATTCTATAGTAATAAGGTGTTATTTTGAAAGTAGGCCATTATGTCTGATTTGAAGTGGAAAATCCGGAGTTTAGCGTTATGTATTATGTACAAATGGGTCATAGTATAGCTAATAAAAGTTAGTTGCAATCAGATTCAAAAGTAAATTGTAATATATGTTATAGACCAAACCATGTTGCATTTTTAATTGGTATTTGTCTCCAAATATTGTTTTATGCTGTCAGTCTTGCTTGAATCAATTTATCTTTGATTAGGTGTAACCGGTACATCAGGACTCAGTGCACCAGCAAGTCCACTTTCTCGTTTGCAACTTTCAACTTCGGCCGATTCTCAGGTAAAAGTGTAATCTTTTTATAACTTTAACATAGTTTTGATTATTCAAACTTGTTTGTAAGCTTTATTTCTCGCTACCATCTTATCTACTCAAATATTATGTGTGGATCATGGATGCAATGCTGAGTAATTTTATGGCACGGACATAATTGTTTTGCTAATTTTGCTTCTCCCTCGGAAGTTATCAGTATTTGTCCATACCCAGTGAGAAGACCTTGGCAAATTAGGAACATTCTGAACATCTTGTGTTATTGCATTTTCAAACAAAATTATTCAGCATGTCATAATAACAATTTACAGTTTGATGCAAATTTAAATAAGATGGGATTTCAAATTTTTCCCTGGGTAGAGTAAAGATTATAAAATGGCTTAATCATATGGTGAACCATGACCATCTATTGTTCAACACTATAGTTCATTTAGAAAAATATGTTTTTTCAACTAATATTAAATTTTATATCTTCTGTCATTGCAGTGAAATTTGATTTCAAATTTAAGGACTTTGCAATGCAATCAATTCTATTTTGTTTTATTTAAATAGATCTATGTTACAGAAAAATCCTGATAACTGAAGGGTGTTACTGCCAAAATTCTTTGACTTTGCTATGTTGAAGTATGTGAAAATATGATTCTTTTTATTTGAAAACTGATTTAAAAAAAATTTAAAGCCCAGTTTTGAGAATTTGCTCAGAACAAGATGGAAAATTACAATTACTTTTTTTGAAAGCTTTAACTTTCATTGTTGTAATTCCTATGGAAATTTTGTTTATACTACTATCCAAAGGATATATTTTGTATTCATGTAAATAGCACGCCTGACCTTGGTGACTGTCATTCATGTATGACTCATCTTTCTGACTCATAGTACCCGTATTTGCATTTGTGGCTTGAAATAACCCTAAAAATGCTAAATGAAGTTTAATGCAAACAAAATGTTCTTTCTCCCTTGGAGCATAGTCATGTGCAAACCAGGAAAATCAATCGTTCAAAATCTGATTTTGAATTTTCTCAATTCTTAGCTTATCAAAATTTTTAAGGATAAATACTGGTAATATTCCATATGCATCGTATTATTACAAAGTTGTATAAATGTTATGGATGCTTATTTATTAAATAGTTTAATTTCTTAATGATTTTATACACTTAAAATTATTTATCATTGGAAACAAAAAAATGATAAGCTACATATTTTGCTGGATAAAATATTTGCTTGCTTTCATTTCTACTGGAAAACAAAGTATTCATTTCCATTAGATTGGAAAAAACACACCATAGTAAATAACATCGAAATAGGAATATCGTTGAAACAAGAGTTAAAATTTTGAATTTAATATACCAAACAATTATAAATTGGCAATTGGTATTCATGTGTTTACAGCTTAACAATGGCCAATCAGTTTGCGTTTACTAAACAAAAGAATGGACGTATTTGTGGCATTTGGTTGACAAGTTGAAACAATATGCATATAAATGTTTCCAAACTATCGACAACAAGGAAAACTGAACAGGATAATTAACACATAATTTTTGTCTTCCTGGATTATTTCATAGGAAAGCCCCTGAAATATAAATCTTGCCACTATTTACGTCATAAGAGAAATTCACAATACATTACAAATTCCATAAGATTGATAATTGTTTAAAAATCTACTATGTGTTACATGGCCTAAGGATATAATTTTCTGAAGCCTGGGGCAGATATTTTTTTTTCCCAAACAAACTTTTATTTAAATGCATTAGGGGATTGGTCACATTCATCTGGCTAATATTTATTGATATTCTTTACCGTAGATATATCTACGTTTGTACAATGCAATATAGCTTGTGTCTGTAGAAGATGAAGTCATGACTGACTCATTTATTTCAACATAAAATTGCAATACAATTAAAAACATTTCAGGATATTTATAAGCATTATATGGTAAATCTGTGCTTACAGTTACAATATTCTTTCATTAAGGGAATATGATTTTAGTATGACTCCAGGTGTTGGGAACTTTGCATGGGATTTTCAATGATTTATAATAATATTGCTAAGAAATGTAGTTAATGGTATTTTTATTTTTAAAACTTTTTGTCCCTTCCAAAGAGGTGATAAACCAGAATATAGTTTTTGGAATCTATATCCATTAGTCATGTATTGACACATAAAGTGATTTTTCAAATCACATTAGTTAATTATGATCTTAGCACAATGCCAGGCCTGAGCATAGTATTGTATTCTCTGCTAAGTCCGAATTTGCGATTGAGAACAGATGTAGAAGAGGTATAGTGAGGCCTAAAGAAGTTTTTGATTTAAATTGGTTTGTTAAAATTTATATAACTAGGTGCTTAATCTGTCAACCCAGTTTTTGCTGTTAGGTGACGTCATCAAATGACCTCAGAATCACGCAACGTTCCCCGAAACTATTTATGATATTTGAAGTGTATTGTTTGTTGGGAGCTCGATTTTTTTTATTTCTCACTAGCCTTTAGGAAACTGACGGATTGAATTGTGTCCTATTTATACGTTATATCAGGGGATTAGTGTACAAAACAATGTTTTCTTGGGTTACACTTCAGTTAAACGGTGCTTTTTTGGTGTAAACAATAGCTTACGTAATAGTCATGTGAGTGGACCCACGTATAAAATGGATTTTCAATACAATATACAGGTAGGTATATTCTCCTTAGTCGAATGGTTTTGTCCAACACTGCGGTGTGCGATACTGTTGTGTATGTTTCGGTGTGCGGCAATATCTGTTACACCACATGTTTAACTTTATTTGTGTGCATTAAACTTATAAAAACAATCCAACGATTTTCATTTTTTTTTATATTAAATGAAATTGGTCGAAATGGCGATAAATTCTTGGAATTTATCAGTGGAGTTAAAAGCTCCTACACAATGTAAAGTCCAGTAATTCCAGAATTGCTGATAATGTAGAACTTTTCAATACTATCTGCAAGTGACAAGTCTCTAGCATGATCTTGACCCCGATACTTTTGAATTATCATAAAATTGCAGTTAATTTTATTTAATTACGTAATTTTGTGCAGTCTGATCTCTCGATGACCAAATACACGTAATCTCTACTTACGGGCATCCCACTGTAATTGTGCTGCCATGCCAAAATACATTACAAATGGTTTTGACGTTAAAAGTTGATGGAATTTCTGACTGCTTATCTCCATCACTGATATTAAATTACTACAAAATTACAGAATACATTACCAACTTTATAAGGAGTCACAGCTTATAATATGCCTGAATTCCCAACGCAATCCTATGATCTTTAATTGAATAATTATATCTTGTTATGATCGTTATAACCTGTTGCCCGCGTTATTAAAGCGATAAAGCTCGGAAGCTTATCGCTACCTCCGAAGGTTGTTGTCGACAGCGCCAACAACATCATAAATACGAAGTTTTGTTGCGTTTTTTGCCTGTTTTTACAGCGTTTAAATTGCTGTAAATCGAAAATATTCTTTGATTAAAAAACAAAAATAAACAAAAACAACGTGCAGACACCCCGTTATTCATTCATTCAAATATACACATATCGTATTGCAAGGATAGGCTTAACTACCGTATATGACAGGGTGTGCAACACTTTTTGTCGGTGGGCCATATACCCAACTCCAGATTTCTAGCTGAGCCACACAAATAAATTTTTCCATGTACACAACGAATAACAGTAATAAAGGCAGCGGGCAAAACGGCGAAAGTTTAAACGCAGCGACAAGAGCAAAATAACTTGTGTATTTTTATCCACGAGAGCGCCTTTCTAGACATAAACAGTCGGATTAGGATTTTATGCTTGCGGTGAAAAATCTGAGTGTTGGTTGACAAGGGCCACACTGAATGGATTGGCGGGCCGCCTCGCCTGTTGCATACCCCCGGTCTTTGATTGCCGTAGTTTAGAATGCTGCGAAGCCATACCCTGAGTTTTCAATTTGGAGTGGAGGATTGTGTTGATGAAATATATTAGAACTATATTTTCGAATCCAAACAGACCATTTTCCCACAAGTTTGACTACTCGTTCAACATAGCATACCGGATTCATTGAAGTCTTTACAAGTTGGTCGGGATACTTATGTACATATCCAGAAAATGAGCCTTCGCGCCCATATTCGATTGAATGATTTAATTTTGAGTATGGATTGACTCAGTTTCGCTCAATCTAATGACAGAAAACAGTATATCTCCCAAGAATCACTTTTCATACCATTTGTTATACGTGTGTAAGTTCACAATTGACTGATATTACCCGTCTTCAATTATCTATTCAGCTCATTAACTCAGCTGGGAACTTCCAACTTGTATACTTTTGGACGGGGTTTAATCCCAACTGGAAGTATTTGTAACGATCAGAATTTAATCCAATAAACTAACTAGCGTAGATGTTAAATATCCCCTGTTAATTTAACATTAACGCAAGGAAACAATTTCTCGACTTAATCTGCCAATAATCGCAGATTTTTGATTTAATATGTTATTGCATGAAACTAAATGCTTATATATTTCGTGGGGTATGAAAGTTCGTTTAGTCGCATCGATGTCTCGGTATCGTTAATGTTTTACTATTACTATATTTTATACAAAATTCGGTTTTACGCGTTGTCTTTTTATGTGGGTTATCTCTATTGCGATTGCAATATTTAAGTACATCGTATGTGAGACTGGGTTTAGAAGTACAGGATATGGAGGTGTTTATTATTTTTGCCATTCAATAAGTATATCCGTGTAGTTATATATTGCTTGAACAATTAGAAATAGAAAAAGTAAGGAAGTTAGTCGACACGAAAACAGTATTCCCTGTCTCAAAACTAAGAACTATGCTTAGAACTATACCAGTGATTCACAGTACGGTTATAACTGGATTCGAAAATGACTAAATATTCGATTTTTTCAAGAACCTTTTTTATGAAATTCTTAATCACTCCTGAAAATAGATTTTCTTATTACTGTATCCTTCTGTACTATTTTATTCAATGTTTTGATTCATTTAGTATTTTAAAAACACTAATAATAATAATAATAATATGACGTTGATAAATGGTAGAAAGCGTCGATGTCACGCATGGCAAGTCCATCCAGAATACGCACAGGTAACGTAAGCTTATTACCACCAAATAATGATGTTTCAATGCCGACTTCTTGTGTGAGATAAGTCTTAGAACTTTATTTTGAATTAGTGGTTTCATGTCTTTTACGGGTTTTTATGGTTCTGACATTTTGGAGTTTCTTGATTTGCCACAAAAAGTTATTAATAAACATTCACCAAACAAATGGATTAGTATATAAAATCTTCGACAAATGTTGATGAATTTTCAGGTAATATTTACCGTTTTATAATTCTATTGCCTGATTGTTGAAAATTGTCGTCCTAAAATAGTCCTACATTCTACATATTACGATGTAGCTCAACATGCATCTTTTCTTACCAGATGGATGATATAATCGACGATATTGTCAGTCTGGAATCCAGCTTGGGTGATCGAAATTTATCCACAACGGTTAGTGTTTATCTATTTCGATAACATTTCATTACTTTCATTAATATGATGTTTCGAATTCATGCGACTGAACCACGAATTTTGATTGAAAAAATCAACGTTTTTAGTATGGTTTAGGTCCACAATAAAAATTGGCATTGTTTCCCAACAAATCAATTACCGAAAAATTCGTTTTAATGTAAATGACCGTTTTATTGCATGGCAATAGGTGAAAGCAGTGGTCGGCAACCTTGTTCAAGTGACGGACCGGCAAAGCATGACCAAAATTTTGTCGGACCACTTATATACAAACGGACTAAGCCTATGCAATAAATTGTACGCATTAGGAAATTTATGTTTACAATATACTAAAAAACGAAAGTGATGCTGTTTAATGCAATATCTGTATTTGTTTGCTGACCATTAACTGTTCCCATATTGGAGATATGGTCGACATTGACACACGTAACGTGTTTCTTACATCCAGACTACTTCGATATTTCGTTTTTGTAGTTATCAATATTGGAAACCAAGTCTCACATTAATAGGATTTTGGGAAAGGTAACAATGCCTGTAAACTTTGTGACTCTGATCTGGGTATTGCTTGATGTTTGTTTTGCCAAAACAATTTTTTTACCCGATGTGCTAACTTTATGATTATCCGGATTCTGAAGTATAGAATTAGTCGTTTTTGTGTCACCTCTCTGCGGACCGACAGTAACCTTTCCGCGGACCGGCGATGGGCCGCGGCCCGGTGGTTGCCGACCACTGGGTTGAAGAATTCTAGGTTTAACTTCAAGTATTTCGTTTCAGCTTCCCACAATTGATCAATCAACGTTACAAACATTTGCGGTGTCTTCTGCTCAGAAGTTAGCCGTCTATGACCAGAATAAAACGTCTTCGTCTTGTCCGCCTGAGATAATTCCAAAACAAGAATTCTTAGGTAAGTCTCACCGAAATATGTCTCGCTCATTTCTTGCACTAAACGCAGACTGAAGTTATTACCAGGTTTCTGTTGTTCTGTGTGACTAATAATTCTTATTCGGGTATGCCGTTGTCTTCACCGTTTGAATTTTGAATCTTTTTCAGACGACGACCCAAGAGCTACGTATATGCAAGATCGTGTGAAGAAAGATAATCACAATCGAAGTAAGCAGTTTTGTGTGATTTTATATTTTTACTTTGTTACTTTGATATTAGCTGACGATTTTATTTGGTCGTAATTCTCCAATTTCCGATATTTCACGAACGCAGTTGAGCGGTCTGAGTTGGTTATTTTATCAAACATTTGAAGAGCATTTGTTTTATACAGTTGAACGCAGACGACGATATAATATCAACGATCGTATCAAAGAGTTGGGAACCCTTGTGCCAAGAAATAATGACCCGTAAGTGTAATGCTACATAGGATAGGATTTACATATTTACCCCGGGGGACGGGAAAGCCGTTAAGAAGGCTTAATCATATCGCGAACCACGGCCCCTCGCCCGGTTACTAGTCTATATCGGGTATGGGATTAGGTAGCCAGTTATTTGTTTCCGGAAGCATGGACCTGATGGTGGAGGAAGCCCTAACCGGCCAGTTACATGAACCACCCTGCGGCGGCGAGGATTCCAGCAATCCTCTCGCACATAAATATCCCCGCATTGGATTTGAACCTGCGAACCCACGCAGGGCAATCAGAGGTGCGGTGGCGCTAACGCTTAAAATTTCTGGTATTCACAGAATACGATACTGTCGTGGTTGGTAACTTCTCACCGTATTGTACTTCAGTAACTATCTGCTATATTGCCACAAGCTGCCACTACAATGAAAATGATATTTATTTACTCCAGGGACATGAGATGGAATAAAGGTTCAATATTGAAAGCGTCAGTCGATTACATGCGCGACTTACAAAATCGAGTTTCCCGCGCAGAAAAAGTCGAAAGAAATCAGGGCCAGATGCAAAACACGAATCGAAGACTTATGCTACGTATACAGGTAGACGTACACATACGATTCTATTAGTTTTAAAATTTGAATTTTATAGTCTATTGTTTTTTATTATCCTTCTTGTTGACCACCTTGGAAGCCCCACAGGCGTCAAAACCCCATCACATAAAGTGTTTTTTATCATGTTTTAACAGATTTTCAGATTCTTGAAGTTCCAACTATAAATATAACTCAATGTTGCGCATTACTTTGCTATAAATCTGGCGAAATTGTGAAAATCTAAAACTTTTGCATATTATATAATTTTGGCATACATTAAAGACTATTTTGTGCCAATAAAAATAAGTCAATACTTTTGCAATATATAGAAAAGGGTGCAATAAGCGTATTGATCCCCTGTACGACGTTCTCATTCCATCCAAACGTATAGTAATAATTACCTTCTTCATTTTTAACGTTACATTAGGAACTAGAGATGCTTGTAAAATCCAAAGGAATGGATATCCCACCTATGCAAGAACAAGAGGAAATCTTCAACAGTTTGCTGAACACGGATACTTCTGTGTCTTTCGATGACCCGACTCAAATGTTCACCAAAGGTAAGATGTCAATTTGTAACATCTTAGTCATCAAAGGTATGTTCCTGTAGTTAAAAATCTACTCTTAACGCTACTTGAATCGTTACGACACGAATATACATTTCGTTCACCGGCCCCGACCCAATGCCGAAATCTCCCGCTTTATGATGCTAACGAAAAGCGATTATGAAACCTATATATCAAAATATATATTAACGTTTTACTATTTCAGAAGAAGAATTTGAAGTTGCCAACTTTCCGTCCCAGCCCATCCAAGAGCACAGTTCCAACTTCAATCAGGTGGGTAAACGTATTGCAGTATATATATATATATATTAGCGATTTGGAAATGAAATGAATTATTAAAAGAAAACCTAATCAATGTAGAGACACAAGGCGCATTCTGACTTCTGTCAAAATTGTTTGCATTCTATCATCATTTTCTGAGAATCCGTATCCTCCTGTCCGATACTCTACGCCAGCGTTTCTCAAACTTTTTTCCGCCAGATCATCTACGCTTTTTATCTCCCTTCGCGGGACACCAAGAAATTAAAAGTTAAAATCGTTGGGTGGTTTTCAAAAGATTCTAGCATATGGTAAAACTGAAAAGTTCGCTGTAAACTTGACAATTAAAAAACTAGGCCGACGGACGGCGAAAACTCCATGCTTTCCAGACTGACAAGAGGCCTGTCCGCCTGTTTGTCGCCAAATTTACGACCTAGAGCCGCCGAAGTACGACCGAGATTACCATAGGGACAAATTTAGTCGCGGAACATTTCGAAGAAGCTCTGTTTCGCGGAACACGGAGTTTGAGAAACGCTGCTCTACGCAAATGTCGAAAAACTGCTCTGATTTAACTCTGTTTACTAATTCTAGGATACCCATTCCTCATCATTTTTAATACAACAGTCACCTCAGCAGCCATCGTTTTTCATTGCAACACAACCTACGACGTCGCCTTCGCCAAATACCAGCCAACATCAATATTTGCAACCACAGCAGGTAAAAATACCAGTATGTTATTGTATAGTTCGATTTCTATAATTCCCCCACTGCACTTCGTCACCATTTCGAATATTTTAACCTAGCACACTATGAAGTAAAATCAAAATATATGTTAAATATTGCCAAATAACATTAAAAAAGCAAACCTAAATGTCGCAAAGTTGCATGCGTAGCAATGTTGTATATTTCAAAATGATGCATGATCGTTTGAATTTTCTAAAGTAAGTACCGTACAAACCTCTATTTTTAAACTTCCACTTTTGATGGAGATATTGTGTTGAACAATCCGCGGGTGCCTTGAAAATGTATTGTATATGATCAGGCCACAAACAAATCAGCATAATGAGATTATATTTTGCTGTCGAGTACTATTACATTGTAAATATTTTGCTTTATATTTGCAGCATATAGTTTCTATCGACATAACTTCTCCAGCATCTCTCTCACCCCAGCCACAACAGCCTCAGCATCGAACAATTGACACCAGTATGGCAACGACCATGATGCAGCATGAAAATCAAGGCATTCAATTATCGGATGCTATGTTGCCATTCGATAGTAATACGACCTTCAGTAATCTATTGAACCAATCAGAGGTTTGTAATATTTCATTTGAGTGTAAAAATGGCATCTGCAACTGCCACGCATTCTAGATGGAAGTAGTTATTGACGTATGTGTCACGTAACGCCCATATTCTCTCTTTTTACCAGGAGGTGAATTTTGACGACGTGTTGATGGAAGAAGACATGACGCCAATCAGAACTGACATATTTCTCTCAGATTCAATCCAACATCTACAGTGAATGATTGTTTTGATCTTCAGTTGTATTGTCGTGGCCGCGTGAAACGTAACGGAGTCACATCGTCCGCACACGGCCGCAGCACTGCTTGCTATTCCACTATGCATCGCGTATCCTTGATCTTGAAACGGTCAGGGAACACGATATTTTGTCGAACAGGAATCGTCAATTTTTCATTGGAATCCTCAAGTAATCACACATTTCTTGTGAAATGTCCATCAGTACGGCTATATTTTGACTAAATACCCACTTAGACCAGGGGTGTGCGAACTGCGGCCCGCAAGGAAAAAAAATGTGCGGCCCGAGGAGAAGTGCCAATTTTGAATGGTGTGCCCGATACACGAGTTTTTATTTAGGTAATCTGATACGTGTGAAATCCAATCTCCGTACGTCGCAAAACCTATACCAGTACCTGAGTGCCACTGTCATATTAGTAAAACTAGCTAGCACCATCTTGTCGAAATACACAATGTTATAAAAACGTGTTTCTAACTGAAATCGTTTAAAGTCGGGTGCGACAATAAATTTGAATAGCAGTTTTCTTCAGAAATTTCTGCGTTTCAACTTAACTTTTCTGCAATGACCCCGCAACAATGCCGTAAGATCATGACAAAAAGAAACAATTTTTTGTGCCTGTAACTACTTGAAAGGCTATCTTGAATAAAGACGCGACACGCTGCTTCATCTACTAGTTACTTGTATCTGGCCCTTTCGTAATAAAGGTTGCTCACGCCTGACTTAGACGACAGTGAATAACAGTAAACAGTGATTCCACGTTTCGCCTTTAGATCTATCGTTTCTATTTTAAATTCTTTACCGCACCTTTGTGTTTAATTTTATTTATTCTCAATCATGTACATATATGAAAGCGGTGGAATTAATATTTTTATTGCCCAGGATTCGTGTGAAGTATCTGAAGACAAGCATCCGGGTCATTTATCGGAAATAGAACGAGAAGTTTCCCGCGCTTATATAACTCGATATGATGTGTCTCGGTCGTCATAAATTTGTCGAGCTATTATTTCAGTATAGGTGGTTAAACCAGTTGTCTTAATTACTCTCGTACTGAGTATAATATGCATTTATTAACCGTAGGGTGTAGATCCTCGTAATTGATCTCGATTCGCCTAGATGTGAAAAAGGGGTACTCCCGGAGTATGTGATTGTGAACCAAGAATAGTGGCTCCGCAACGTAGAATGTGTACCAGGTCAGGGTTAGGCCATAATTTCAGGTACAAATACTACGGGAGTCACTTGGCTGTTCCTCGAACTTGTAATAAGACTAAAATAGGCAAAATTGGAATAAAATTATGGCTAACCCTAACCTGGTAAACATACTAAGTTCCGGTGTCCGCAATTTTGGTTCACATACTTCGGGAATACCGAAATAACAAGCCGTTCTCCCAAGTAAATTTATTTTGTACGATTCCCAGGGATCTTTATTTTTTCAAACCTCGGTATGAACTTACTTGCAATCCTGATTTGGGGTTTTGTTTTTTTGTAATCGTTTTTTTTTTTACTAATTCACATAATGTTCACACTATTTTTAGATACCATATTTAATGAAATTCATCATCTGTATGGTCCTAAGGCTAAATGATGCCCGACAATATCTCGTTCCATTCCACTATGTTAAGAGTTTTGGTCTCTGATCATTTCGTATATATAGTTGTACGAAGGTGTATGTATGAAGGTTAGTTGCCCCCAGTGCGTGACGTCTTGCTAAATGATTGTTTTTAGCTTTTGCCATTTATTCCTAATAATATTGAATTCACGATTTTTTTCTACTATGTTTTAATTATGGCTTGTAAATGCATTTGTGAATTATCATTTCGATATAAACGTATTTTATTGGTATTTTTAGATCGTGTTTTATATGAAATGATATGTTGCAATTTTTATCATTCAGCCATTTATTCATTTACTGATTTTATGTCAATATTTTCTCTATATTTCTTTATCAACATTTTCGCATTTTACAATAGCGAACACTTTTTTCTGACCAGTTCTGACTTTTAATTAAATTCACTTTGAATTGGGGTGAGCGGATATATTGCAGTATTTTTGGTACTCTCGTAGTGTGTGTACCAGGTTAGGGTTAGGCCATACATTTATTCCGATTTTCCTTATTTTAGTTCGGTTACGAGTTCGTGGACTGTCTGTGTTATGCAAGTCAATATACCCCCTGCCCATGGGTTTCAGTCCTATTACTCAACTTGATGTAAAAAAGGCGAAAAAAATTAGTTACCTCCATATTGGTACACAAAGTTCTGGAGCGTCGAATTTTCTTTCTAAAATAGAATAAATTGGGGATTGCTATGCCTCCTGAGTTGAAGCTGGCTTCCGAGGTTCAAATCGTAGGTTTCCGGTTGAAATGAAAGAACATAATGCAAAATATTTGCAAGCCGACTAATTATCACCCTGGTGTTGGTACTCATCGAATAGATCGAGGCTTTCACGACAAAAGATTTGGGTTTTTAGATGATTTTCACAGTGAAACTAATAAATTCCATGTTAACCTGGCAATATTTGTTAAAGCTGGAAATGTTATTTGTAACTATCAGTTGGGGGTATGCCGGACTAATTACGGCTCCTCGTTCTTCTATGCCTTTACGCAAGGATGCTGTAGCAAGAACAAAGATGACCGATGCAACTGTCTTTCTGTGACGTTTCTTCTGACTGTATTTTGAACATTTCCCCTCGGCCCACTGATTTTACAATCTGAATATAATGACTGTAGAACATAAATCAACCCCATTGCTAGGCTTGCACGTAATTTACAGATTTACGGAATTACGGAATTATTTCGAGTTACGGAAGGGAAGTTACGAATTACGTAAAGTCGTAATTATTGGTCGAGCGCTTTCGCGATTGAAACGAGCTCTCTTCAAAGCAGTCAATTCCGTCGATTGTAAAAAGTGAAAGTTTAAAAAGAAGTTAAAGCTTCGGTATTTGCAGCCGTTTTTCTCACTTTTCTCTCTCTTGCCAATACGTCACCGTGATAATTAATGTCGCGCTTATCAAACAGCAATATGACGACGGAAGAGAAATTGCGTAATGAACCAACGCAACTTCGTCTTTTCGGCATCGGTAAAGCGATTGAGACGGCAGAGAAACAACAATATGACGGGATTTCCCGCGATCCGGTAAAAATCCTTTGCGGACCGTTGACGGTCCGCGGACCGGCGGTTGGGAAGCACCGTTTTAGAATACTTAAATCAAAACCAGAATCCTATTCTATTTTTATAGTTACCGTATTTAAATAGTGGGATTTCTCCACCACAATGATTGAAATTAAAAAAAAAAGCTAAATTGTAGCCTAAATGTTTAATGTATAACTATCTTTATGCAGTATTTAATTGAAAATGTCCTGATCATTGGATTATATTTAACCAAGGCAACGAGATTTAAGAACTTCGACGATCGTTTTTTTTTGTTTTTAACAGTTCAATATTCTCAAATTAACTACTATCAAATATCAAGTATGAGCCAGTGTGTTTATTCTGTGCGAGAACCATTTTCAATTACAAAACCTTGATGTTCTGTTACCGGTTTTATCGTTTTATATCAGTCCGGACTTGTCCTTGCTCAATATATTTTCCACAATGCCTCGCAATATTTCGGCCAAATATGATTAACTGTCTTTACCAAATGCGGCAACTTATTTTGATTCTTGAAAACCACCGACACTCGACCAAATTTGTGTCAATCTTGGCCGATAGGATCGTCGACTTGAGTTAGAAAAATAAGTTAATTTTTTCGTGCGTGCAAAATAAATGTCACAATATGCATTTTTTTGCGATATAACTTTGTATTTTCGGAAAAGCCATATCATATAAGTACGGTATTTAAATTATGCGCAAATAATTAATATTTGATATAAATTTGTTGCAAATAATGTTACAACATTTAGGCCGCGACAGGATTTAATGTAAAATGATATGTCTTAACATCTGTCACCGGCGTGTAGTACTGCCAGGAATATGAAAACCCAAACTCGATGTCCCAATCGAAAATGAAGTGGATTCAATTGGTTGTTATGATAGGTTTAAATGTGTGAAAAAATATCGCAATTACGGGGTCATTACGTAATCGATTTGGCCGTAATTACGGAATTGATTTTTTGTCAATTACGTGCAAGCCTACCCATTGCATAATTTGTTATATTTTGAAATCTATAATTTTATAGTCGATCTGTTGCAGTTTATGTTCCCAATAATTTCGCCCCCGTAAATAAATTTACAATACCCAAATTTCCTACGAAACGATACCAAGAAACGGCTCAAGGCTTATCCGTCTGCATTAAGCTAACCAGAATTCTAAATTTCAAATGAACTCTTTAATGTTTTTAACTACGGATATTGAAATTGCGAGGTGTCAAAATAGTTGGTCGTAATCTGCTGTACTTCTTACACAAGAAAATCAGTGACTTTATTCAGACAAAGCATATTTTCTCAAAAGTCAATATTTCCATTTGCCGCTTAGGTTTCTAGCGTTTATATAAGGTATATGCAACGGCATATACAATATAAGCGCGCATTAGTGTTAGATTATTTAGAAAAAGCAACGCTGACATTTGTGTGTTAAGAATTTCTGACATTTCTGTGTTAAGTGTGTTAAATCTTTTTATTTCTGTGAAACACGACTTGTACATTATAGGTTGTTTTTTTAGCAAGATAGTTTTTCGAGTTATCTCATTTTATAATCGATGTCAGAAAAATATCATGTCATCAAAAACTATTTAGCAAAGAATGCAAATTCGAATTTGTACTTAGAATTTGTACCATAGATAAATAATCTTATAAAAATAATGGAGATATAAATATTTAGAAGGCTAAAAATATGTGTCACCCCGTGAACATACTGATGTAAACATAATTTAGATATATGCGAAATAAATGATTTCATATTATTGATTTCACTGCTACATATTTAAAACGTCTCCACTGAAAATGCGGCAGGAGCCTCGACTTGAACTCCAGTTTAATAATTTAGTCCCAACATTCTAATTACTTGAAACTGCAGATTGCTGTTGTCATTTTGTGTAGAAATCAACAGTTCCAACAGTATTTAATTTTGTCAGTTGATTTTGTATCATTGAACGCTGTTCATGTACCGAATCCGAATATTTTCATTTTAGACTAACACAGCACATTTTGATTCGTTAATCACCCACAAAAACAAGGTATTTTTTAGAAATATTTCTTGGCGCGGTGATTTAACATTTGGATATGGCAATAAAGTCGGGCTATGATAGATAAATTTCACGTCAATACGTAAATTGCAAATTTTTATTCCTGCGTATTTTTTTTTGCTTTTCTTACTCAGAAACTTTTACTTTGCAAATATCCGAGATAGGTATAGCTACGCAACTATTGTATTTTCCAAGAGCAAAACCGAATAGCGAATGAGGAGGCAAATCCATCCACAATGATCAAACCAAAACTTTACATTCCAAATGAAATTTTAACTGTTTCCAAAAAATTATATGTTAAAAATATGTAATCTTCATCTGCTCTACCCAGTAACTTTATTGAGTTAATAACTGGAACGGTCGAGTAATGATTCCTGGAGAAATCAACAAAAAAACAATACCTTGCAATTTCGTCTGATATATTAGATGTCTAGCGCTTGTGCGCACTGACAAACACTTACATTATAGTTGAATTAGTGCTGGCACTGATAGGTACAAAAAAATTTCAGTTTCGTTCAGTCGTACCACTGTGATTACTATTATTTTGATATAGTTATATAAATGTCCGTCGATATTCTATATATTATGTTGGACTGGGGATGCACCATGACTTGAACATTATTGCTTGTTTTTTTTTACCAAAAAGGTCTTGAAAACTGTTCTAAACTGAAGTTATTTCTATTTTAATATTGATATCATCAACAAGATAGCACAAACATAATTTGAAATTAATGATTGTACCAGGAGTAAGTATGTACTTATATTACAAATGGAGAAGTAAATATTGCGAAGTCTAAAAATAAGTGTCTTCAGAATAATTCCATTTTTTATAGCAAACGACAGTATTTCTATCTAGTACAAATCCGCTTAATGTTCGATAAGAAAAAATAGATAAAAATAAAACGGATGGCTTAGGGATTTTTTTCACAGTTTGTAGTCTTGAAAACGATTTCAAATATTCGATCTGTCCGTCGTAAGCGTTCATCATCACTAACGCAAGATATAGTGGCCGGAATTACCATTAGGCAGGGTCCACAGAATTATTATGAATTTTATAAAACTGATATTTGCTTAATTTTTTAAACAGGTCAATGATTATCGTCCCAAACATTTACTGTTTAAAATGCTAAAAACTAATAAAAACAAATTAATTGTATAAATTTGAAGAACTACCACTTTGATGTTTAATAATAAAAAACATGTTAATTCAAATTAATTTAACCGTTTTTACAGTAATATTGCCTCTACGTTTTCAAAAATATCGATATATATATATATTTTGTTTTTTACTGATTTATATAAGCAACAATGAATCCAAGAATTTTCCCATTTCAGATTTTATTTATTGTAGACCCGTGTAAAACGTCTCCAAAGAGCTGATATTAATCCAAAGTCGATTCTCTCGAATTTACTCAACATGGAACTCACGCACATCTTCGACGCTTAGCGATTGTTGGATTACGAAAATTCCAAAATAGTTAAAAATATTATCAGACCGGATCTCTATTATTAATTCACTATTATCTAAAAGCGTTTATGCATTCGACGTTGGTGATGTTCCGAAACAGAATTCCGTATTCTTCATGTAATTAACTTCTGTTTTAAGAGCTATTTGTAAAAACGTATGCGACACGTATGTGGTGTGAACAACTATTGAAAACATGGACAAAATATGAAAAAATCTACATATGAAAGCAATCGCGCCGTACATCTGATCATGGCGACATCGAAGATGATATGCGTCGGCTTAGCAAATTGTTTCGCTATAGATAAACGAACAACAATTTTCTATTGCAGCAGGAAGCGTGAATGTTTCATATTCCGACCCGCCCATTTAACCGTAAATGATGTACGGTTGTATACTCTCTTCAGCATTGAAACAAATAACCAATGTTATTTAGAATATCATGTGTTGATGGGAGATACAATACGATAATAATATCTCTTACAATGATCTACAAAATCTTGAAACTGTTATCGGCGCGTCCCGACTAACAATGTAGTTGGTGTGCAATATTTCATGTTAAACTTCTCGATAAGGTTTACGGTAATTCAGTGTTTTCATCAGCTTGGCAGTAAATTCGATTTATTTTCACAGTTAGTGGTATTATTATTTCGATATAATCTTTTATCGACTTTTGGAACCTCTCATGTTGTGCTCACAATTCTGCAAAATCATGGTTTTCGTATTAATGACTGTTTATTTACTGAAAATCATTTTTGAAACTGAAATAGTTATTCTTGTTTTGATTTCGATTTCCGAAACCAATTTCATATCATTACAAACATCGTCAGCAAGTTATATAGATGCAAAAGATACAAATAAACATTGGTGAACATCATTTCTACTATGAATAAATTAACCTGATGTATCTAATAGGGAAATAACTATTTAGGAAACTAAAAATAAGTGTCACCGCATCTCAATTACAAAAATTGCGATTGATTTGTGGGTTTGAACTTTTGCCGCGATTACTTTCTCGGCGACGACGTGTGAACTATTATTGAACTCGAAAGGTTCAACATATACTGGTGCTGCACACATGACGTTATAACTTTTTTAAGCAGAATTGATCATTAGAATATAATGCGCCATATCTCAATAGAGCGTACCGTAAAATATCGTACTTGGCTTGACTAATGAAAAATAAATTTCGGACTTTGTTGACGTCTTGATATTCTCACAACTATGAAATACAAGTAATTTTTACACTCATGGAACAATTGATAATCTCTTGATTGTCGAAATTTCATTTTTGTAGAAGGGGCAGATGCGTTTAGTTCCCAGTTTGGAAAGTGACGCCGTGTTGCTGGGCAGCCAATTCTCCACTAATACTTTAAAACTTCATTACATTGTAACATTTAAGTCGATCGCACTGATCGAAATGTAAATTGTCATTTATGAACAATAGCGAGATAACTGTGGGCAATATTATGCCGTTTCTCAGCGAATAGTGAGTTCGAAAGAATAGTTTATGTTGTAAATTTTTAACATTTTATTTCTGCAGTCTGATGATATATCGATGATAACATTTAAGTCTGCCCGGATGAATATAGTTACGGTCATCGATCACGATGTCCTTCCTCAGCAAGGCGATCGTGCTGATTGGGGTGAGCCAAATTATGTTTCAATCTAAACCACATTAGCAGCTGAATAAATATGTGCTTCCATCTTCGGAAATCTCGCTTGGTACACCATGCCAAAAGCAGACAGCGTAAAAGGGTTTCAAACAACTCTCCTATTCGAAAAGAGGTCTACGCTGCAAGTAACATGGCAACAGGATTCATGCATGCATTGCATATTTGGAATATATAATAAAATGCTGTTAACAATATTCTGTTAATTAACAAAAAAATTCAAAATCATTTCATTGCTGAAAATGGCGATCAAACAATGCACAAAATTGGTAACCTCGTCTTCATCTGATTATTATTTGTAATCCCCGAAATTTGTATGATAACGCTGGTTTGAGTTTCAACTACATTTTAAGTTAATCTGATCAGGTTAAACTGTACAATAAGCTATAATTCACAATATATAATATCATATCGATAAGAAACTGCTAACGTCTGAAATCAAATAAAAACAAAATTCGTCTCTGTATGCTACTTTCTCTATCTAGTTTTTCGCTGCTTTCGAGGAATTCAGAGTATAACCTATCAGTGCGTTTATTTATGATGTCTCTTTTCACCCAAGACTATTGACGAATGTAATAATCACAAATAATAAGTCTCTTTCTATAAACATCAGTGACATTCACGAGTTTAGAATAACAAGTATACATGTGAAATGTAGCAAAAATGGATGTGAGTTCTAATTCTTGCTCTGGGCAGACATTACTTTAAGAATTGATAGCTAATATCAAAACTGTGCAGTTTGATTATATTCAAATAATTCTAGCCAAGATATGATTATTTTGTTATACAAAGAGGTTGTTTTATAATCAATTTTAAATTCAAATTAAAATCAAACTCTAAAACAATATTCACATAAATTGATGATTGAACAATTTTACTAATTTCTGATTTATTTTTCATCATACGTAATGTACATTTTTGATACAATAATATTCAAAATTGTAATGAACCTACTCAAATTACGAAACCGAATGGCAAACACCGATTATCTAACCGGTCTATCTAATCTAATTACCGACGGTCCAAAATAACATTATATTTGTCGCGAAGATGATAAAAATAAATACCGCCAACTTCGTGGTATATTTTTAGATTTACATAAAGTTATTTTAGCACGTGGACATGAATATTATGTTGTTCAAAATACAACATTTGTCATCCCCTTCTCAAATGGTCTACGGTTACATATAATAATATCGGAGTGGAAAATACTTTCAGATCATGGCATCCATAAATAGGTAACTAGCAAACGAAGCGCTATTATCACAATGTAGTATCCGACATAATATGTTTTATCAGTATACAAATGAACTATCTAAAAATAAACCAAATAAATATTGTTCATTCAATTGGTAGGGACGCTTTATTCATTCATCCAAATAATCCCTACGTAAAGAATCGCTTTTCACGCTAGACTGTTGAATATTTTGTAAGATGATTGAATTTATGGCATAATTCCAGATACATGCCAATGCAGTAAATTATTTCTAGTTATATTGATACAAACGCGCTATTTTCCAACATGCGTTGTTGACCAAAATTCAACATTTTTGCGTTATTTTAAAATATTTTAATTCTAATGTTCAATCCAATTGTCATATTTTTACCGGACGTCATCCTTTCTCAGTTTCTGAACGTAATCTCACGTTTCCCCTTGAATATCATATTACCCAAGCTATTTGCTTCGTCGCGGGGATACGTGATTTTAACGATGACGACTATGAGGTTAAAATATTGCATATTTTTTAGTCAGCTTTTTAGAGAAATGCACTGGCTAGTAAGTATTATCTCCTGGGTTCCCGACCCAAAGAGGTTTTGTCGCGGTCAGTCGTGAGAATTATCATGTGTCTGGGTGCAATTTTATATTTGAACATTATCATTTTTTACGAAACCACTGAGAAAAAGTTCCGTGTTACAGAAATAAACTTCAATCGCTTTTTTTATTATAAAAGGGGATTTCGGTAATTGCGATGTGCTTGAATAATTCTCACGTCGTAGTAACCATATAAATTGGAAAACGCGGAGATGAGACATCACATGTTCGTAGTATTCGGTCTGATGTTTTCAAGAATATTGTATCATTGGATACACATTATAAAAAATATTTTTGTATAATACAACGCGACAACAAGTTTGAAAGAAAACCTACAACTCACTTTTCGGAAATTTCGAGTTTTATTTATTCAAAGAAAATAATGTACGGTAAGAGAAATCATTTTTATTGTGTGTAGTTAAAAAGATTTATTGGTTTAGAAATATGAAAAAATAATTACGAAGGAGTGTATTGTTATACATTTTCAAAGTTATGTTTCTATGTCAACTTGTAAAAATTCAGATTTTTTGATTAAAACAGTTTTACTATGGGATAAATTTTTCTGTTTGCATCTATCCGTGCGTACAAATTTTATCAAAATGACGTAACACACAGTTGTCATCTGCTTAGCTAGAATTAAATTTCAATACATTTTTTTCTAAGATTTATGTACGTTTTTTTACAGATAAAAACATCATAACACTAATTTTTATACTAGTAACAATATTTTGGAATATGACAGTCAGCAACGCAACATACTGTGATAGAAATAATCCTTGTAAATACGATGGAACATGTTATCGAGGAAGATGCATCTGCTCTGCATCGTGTTTTAATAAAGGTAAGATATGTTGCGGTGTTTATGTTATAAGTCGAACTAGATATTATATTTTCTCTTTTTGAATTTTCTTTTTTTTTTGATCCATTATCTTCCGAGCGCGGTCCACCTCTTTAGTTCGAATGTGAATATATTCAAACGAATTAACAGTTACAAACAAAGAAACGCAAACGGATGTTCCCAACACGAAACTAAGGAAATTGACTACTACCTGGGTCCAAGGAACCTGGGTCAGCGGACAACAACGTGCCCTTTTCCATTCCCGAATAACCAATTGGCACAATAATCACAATTAAATTGAACAACGAATTTCAACTAGGAGGAAAACACCGAAAATAGTATTACAGTTGCAGCCCTGTTCATAATGAATTATGCGTCAAGAAAAATTTCATTTCATAGGACTCTCGAACAAGATTTTTAAAAATAAATTCGTCTTCTTTAATTTAAAGCATTGGAAGCATGAGCATACGGTTGCTAAAGAAACTAATAAAAATATAATTTAGTTTTAATTCCCACACGTTCCATAACAAACCAAAAATGAAGCAAAATACAGCACCGTTTTAATGCTTACGCACATCTTATAAAATCTACACTTCGTGTGGGTATGATCAGACGTTTAGGCTTGAGATAAACAGAAAGAGCGCCACATTGGGTCACTTACGACTCCGATATACATTAGCCTCATTGATAATTATGAATGAGTACAAATACACCAAATGGCAGATCACTGGATTTTTGTGCAGAATAAAAATGTATTTTATCGGTAAAGTTCACATCGCCACACCCAACTTGATAACCCGATTGACGGTATTTTCGATAACCAACATGAATTATAGGTATTTAAATTACATCAAATTTATTTTTATTACATTTACCAGGGGCTATGATAATGTGTGGAGAAGACGGCAATCACTATATGAATTACTGTTTTCTGAAGATGCAATCATGTGAACAACAGCGTGAGATTAAAATAAGATGCGTCGGCATGTGTTCAACGTGTGATACAATGCAAAGCAATAATCCGAGACAGAAAGTGATCTTATCGTCGCAAGGTCAGATACGACTATGTACGTGAGCAGGTTCATTATGTTCATCTCACATTATTGTGAAAATCATATTGTCGATCAGACATAGATTAACTCTGGCCCCTTTAACCGCGATGATATTGTGGCCTTCCTTAAGTATTTATTATACGGGGGACTTGCTTATTTGCAATGAACATATCGTGACATCAAAGAAAAATAAATATCGCATGGCTTGTGGATTGTAACGACGCACAATACTTGCAAAGAGAGAATGAATAAATTTATTTAACCCGATGTGCTGTCGCTCTAAATGCCTTTTTGAACAGGTGATATTTAACGAAGTATTTTTCCTGATTTTCATTTGTGCAAATAACATAATTAAATATATGCTTAGTATTATGGTTTTGATTTTAGTTCAAAGTTCAATGACAAAAGTTTGCTCAATGGAAGATACGTATTGTTTGAACTACGGACTCTGCGTAAAAAATTCTGGAGTTCGAACATGCATGTAAGTAGCTATCGACTCATAATGAAGTAAAAGAGGGATACAAAAATAGATTAATTCAAGATTCAGATATTAATATTATTAAAATTTAAGCCTAGTTAAATCCGCAGTCTTCTTTTCACTTGTCTAAATATGATTTGCAAAGGTATTTTTTTATCAATTATCTCAATTTTCAGATGTCCACATGGTTACACAGGTGAGCGGTGCGAAAGGAAAGAACACCGGAAAACCCCTTATCGAAGCCAACCTTTGATTGGAACAAACGATGAAGACATACAGATATCGAAGGAAGTGTCAATAACGTTTACTTTGGTATTATGCGCAACGTCGGCGATGGGCGTCGGGATAATTGCGTCGTTCATATATTACAGGTAAAAAATCACGCTTGCTTCATTACATTTTTGTAAATAATATATATTTCCACAGCCTTGCATTCATTTTATTTAGATGTGGCTTCTTCAAGTCATATATAACCGTGTTAAATGTTTTGTTCTTTGGCTCCCACTCGTTTACAAAATGTATAATTTCATAACATATTTGATGCCTCCTCCTCGTTACCTATTTATGAGATTATTGTTTTGAACCTTCTTCTAATGGAATATTTGATAGTGTTTTGCATTTTTCTAAATTAAAATATTATTTCAGGATAAGGCTGAAAAAAATTCAGAATGAAGAAAACGAAGAGACGACGAACGAAAAAGATGTTCTGGATATTATTAACGATAACAGAACGAGTAAAAGTTTTTATGTGACAACATGCACAGACGTTTGACCTCAATGATATTGATAGCAATATAATAACGGCTTACATGGATGCTTTTCCTCACATTTCTACGACCCCGGATAAGGATTATATTTTATTGTCGAAATCAAAAACGCAGTTGATTTTGATTAAGTCCTTTTGCAGCTATTTTTAGCAGTAATCGTTTGAATCATCGTTTTGATTTTGTCTTATTTTGAACGTAGAGTCGTTATTTAAACTGGATCAACAGTCTTGAATATCAGGATTAAAAAGGCATCAGATCGTGTTCAGGTATTTCACTTTGGTTTTGGAAAGAAATTAAATGAGGTTGATTTTTGTGATACCAAACTTTCATATAGTTCATAAAGGTTGGATACGGCCTGCGGGGTTTACGTCTGCTGAGGCCAGTCGTGTGTACTGAAACACGATTATCGTAACAAGGTGCTAGAGATGGACTTGGTTGAACAGCAGCATAGAAATTCCTAAATTCAGTTCTTAAATTTTTCTTAAATAAATACGTTTCATATATTTTATCACTAATTTCCACTGCCCAGCATAACAAGTTGCATCTGCCTTCCTAAAAACGTTTTGGAGAGAGAAGCTTATTTTTAATTAGCATTTAACCGATTTATCATACAATCGTTAATGTGTAATAATTTATCCACTGTCTTGAAAATAAATGATTTGATCGTGCTTTTACGTACTTATTGTTTTTTATGCTATTCTGTTCAAAATGATACGATTATTGACCGCGATCTTACGATAAGCGTTCAAAATAAATAACTTCACTGTGATCGAATTTTAAACCTTTCATTTGAATAGAACTTATTATTTTAGTATTTAAGTGTTTTCTATAATAAATGGTGACTGTTTTCAGTATAGTTTCTTGTTTTGAAAGATTTGATGGAAAACTTGTGGGAATAATTAACTGTCCAGAACTGAGTTGATAAGATTATTCAGTTCTTAGTTTATCAAATTTCACTGTAACTGAAGCACATAATGCATTCGTGTCAGTTTTTCGACATTTTCTGTACGCCTGCCTAAAATGGACTTAGACGCCAAAAAGCTCTATTTTTTTCTTATTGATTGTTTATTCAAATTCTCTTCCAGTCCTATGGATATCGACATTTCAACCCAAATTTTGCTATTTTCACGAATAATGCGTCACCGCGTGACATTATGGCATTACGTCAGGCCAGTCCGCCATATCTTTGATGAAGCTGATGCAGCTGCAGTCTTACCGGTAGCCTACCGATGCGAATTCCTGCGAAGGGTGAAATTGATTGGCAATTTTAATTTGAAGCTTTTGAATGTGCAACTTGGACACGAAATGGACACACGCTCCTTTGTGGACCCGGAAGTGTACATAATGATCGTATTGTTATTATGTTGTTGTTAGTATTTTTCTCCTTATTGTTATGAAAAAATCGCTTTTTTCTTTAACTACTGGACCAAATGCTTTGGAATTTTCAGTGATTTAAGATTGTACTTTTTGCTAGAAAACAATGACAATATTAAAATGGCACTTCCGGTGGCGGTTCCGCTTTCGCGCAAGTTGATATTGCACACCTGTACTACTTCGATTTGACTTTCGTACCCATATATTTGAGCATCGCTCTCTGTTATTATCATGTTGTTGTTGTTGTGAAAAATCGTTTTTCTCTTCAACTATTTGACCAATTGCTTTGAAATTTTCAGTGGCTGAAGATTGTGTTTTGCGCTATTACTTTAATTTATTTTTCTGTTGGCTCTATGAATTTATTTTTCGTATGCGACGACGTCATCAAAATTAAAAATTGCGCATCTTTTGCGTTTGCGCAATGTGAATATATATTCTCAATATATGTTTTCATGAGATAGATATTCCCATTGATTCGCGCTAGTGGTCATGAAGATTGCGGTACCGGTAGTCTACTGTGACAGATTGTATACCCGTACGACTTACTTCCGTATATTTTTTGAGCATCGCTCTCTTGATGTTGGGATGGTTGTTTTTTGTTGGGATAAAATGACCGTTTCCCGTAACTAATAAACCAAGCGCTTTCAAATTTTCAGTACACAAAGATGGAAGATATAACCAGAAGGCTATTACTTTTACTTCCTTAACACTGTGTCCATGTATTTGTAGAGAGTTTTTTTTGTTTTTCGATTCTCTCGAATGTAATAACCTTTAGGATATATTTTGCTCTAGATTGCTGTGGGAAAGCCAGGTCATTTGGTTGGGATATTTTACAATTTCTCACAAAATTTCTCCGGCTAGATTTAACATATATATATCACGATAGTAAACGCTCTGCAAAGTTTTGAGGAGACAATGAATACCCAACAAAATCATTTACCATTTGTCGCACCCTTCTGGCCGATAAGCCTATGACAAAGTAAAGAATTACGAAATTTTCAAACATATAAAATATGAAAACCGATATGACCATTTACTTATAAACGTTTATAACACGTTTTTTTATTGAAAATAACTGCTAAACATATATTATTAATCATTTACAGGGGTTCTCAACTTTTTTTTCTGTCCAGTACCCCCCGAGTCACGAAACAATCAATGCGAACCCCCGGAAATCAGACACCGAACAAAGTTGTAATATATTGACTAACAATTTGTTGCAATACCAATTTATTGAACTTATGAGACTTAATTAAATCGTCTTGTTGATAGTATTGCCCTTGTCGTCTGCCTAACTAATGAATTAAAAAAATAAAAGAATAAAATCTCTCCCAAGTTTCAATAAGCATAATCACTTCTCCAATGCTCGCAGCACGCTGTCTTTAGAGATTTCACAGTTGGCATGCAAAACCTTGAATTTCACATTGTTGCGCCACAGTCACAACAACGCAATATCAGGGAAAATCTACGTTTTATTTGGCATATAGTTTCAATGGGCACGCATTTTCCTATGGTAGTAATAAAGGATATTGAAAAAGATCATCACACAAAAACTCGACTGCCATCCAAGTACCCCTGGAAATCTTCTCGTGAACCCCTGGGGGTTCGCGAACCCCAGGTTGAGAACCCCTGATTTAAAACGTTTAGAAGAGATTTCTTACTATCGGCTAGGTCAGGGGTTCTCAAACTTTTGGTGTTGCGGAGCCCTTAAAAAGGTTGACTATTATTCACGGAGCCCCAGAATAATGTTAAAATTGATACTTTCCGATTAATATTCCCGAGTAAGTTAAACGTACTTTACTCAATTTATATACTAAACCCTTTTAATAAGGTTAATACAAGTCATAAATAAATCTAAATTTCAAAGATAAGTTGTATATACTGAAGCTGTAAATTTGGCACATGACAAACATATTAATAAATTAGGGGTTGAATCTTTTCCCCTCTTGACATTTTTGGAAGACTTAAAAGACTTAAACCTCAAACATCTTTACGCAGGTGTTTATTCTCCCTGAATCAAAACTTCCTTCGTCATATACATGTATTGTTCCACAATGACGACGATAATTGCTTTTTCGTTCTCGTGGGGAATTATGAGTTCAATGTGAAAAACATGTAACCATATTATAATCATCGCCGACCAAATGCTAAAAATAATAGTTAATAAAGAGGTAAATCGGCAATTCAAATTTCTTGATTAAAAAGCGGCATTCTAAAATATTAGAACCAAACTCAAAATGGAAGATAGCACTCTAAGTTTTGCTTCAGCAGACTCACGTGAGAAAAAAACGCTCGTATAGACATTGTAAATCACAAAATTTGGTGTTATGTTAGGTTTTCTTCGGTTATGCATCGTAGTAACTGCGAAATTGAAACACGGCAATTAATTATGCGCGCGATGTACCATTTTTCCATTCTGAAACTACCGACGGAGCCGCATGCGCTAAAATAAATTTCAATCGTTCGTATTTTTCCAAGACCTTGTGATTTTTCAAACGGCGATATCTTGCTTAAAAATAATATCGAGTGCGAAAGAAAAAATCAAGTTTAACAAATCCCAAGATCGCAAAATACGACTCCAATTTATTTGTAGTTGGCAGTTTATGTTATTTTAGAATAGTATTTTTTCATTTTAGTAATCCTAACACTAACAGTAATCTCGAATCGAACGTGAGTAACGATGAGCACAATTAAATTATTACGATAAGATACTTCAAATGCTCGCATCGGACATGAATTGAATATTTTACGCAACAGAAATCTCGTTATCCGTTTTTTTTGAATCGCCAAGAATGTTAAGCTAAATTTCCGATTCCAATTTTAACCTCCTCCCTCTTAAGAATCCTGGCTGCGCTCCTGCTTATAAATAATGTCATTTTTTAATTCCGCCACTTTGCCATATTTCTAGGCTATATTGTTGTCAAATTTTATTAAAGCTGTTACTGCTTCTAGGAATAGTTTTAAATTAGCCAAGTCGGTATTTTAAAAAGTAATAGAATAGCTCGCGGAGCCCCTGGGTTTATCTCGCGGAGCCCTGGGGCTCCGTACGGAGCACTTTGAGAACCTATGGGCTAGGTCAAAAAATTTCGAGCTTTCGACTAGGTGCTTATATTAAAATCATTTTTGAAATTCAGACTAGGTTATTTTTTTGGGGGATCACGGTAGTACCAAAACGGTTTAATTTTAAAGGTTCATTTTCCCAAGAAAAGTGTCATTATATGGTTGTAGCCTTACATTATTTCGTTGGTCTGTTCTTTTTTTATTCAATCATCAGTGCCAACTAACGGTTGGGAATATATTACTAAAAATATTAGGCGATGTTGCGACATGGGTTTAATTCCGATAACAATAATAGTCGATGCAAGGTCAATATACCAATGAATGATCATGTTATTGTATATAAGTGTGAATTAAAATATAATCTAATTATAATGTTTGTGTTGGTCGTCTAATTAAAAAACAGAACTTGGTAGACTTTGATAGCCATTGATAAATTGACTATATTGTCATGAGTAAAATAATCATTACGTTTTGGTTTGCCGTATTAAGGATAATATTTAAAAACAATAAGATAATAACTCGGAAGCTGCATCTCATTTTTGCTCGTGCTTATGAGCTAAATATAGTTATTCAAACATAAGCTTGTTTGAAATGGTAACAGAGGTTAAAAATCGATGTCCGCGCATTGATCCAGCATGAAGTGCATTTTAGTTCAATTTTCCGATTGTTTTGAATATATGTTTTGAATGACAACCACTACTGGCGACACGACTACACAGTTTACAACACTATCGTGAAGTACTTCAACAAAGATATACTTAGCCGCCCAGTTAGCAAGCATCAGTTTGTTAGGATTAGTTCATTGAATCCTACACAAGCTGTATTGGCAAACAATAGATATATTTGCCCTCTCGAAACTTATATCCGCCAAACGTATAGCTCATGTTTACATATTCGCTTGTATTCTTGTTGGTAAAACGACTTTATCAATATAGCTTAGTTGAGTTACGAAGAGATGGTAATAAACTTCAAGTTTGTATCGAAACGATGAGCTGGTTCGCAGAACCAATGAGAGAGCAAACGAATGTTAATTGAATCTAGTCTATAGTACTAAACTTGAACAAATCTTATTGAAAAAGAGTGAGTGGCCTAATTTTCATTTTAATATATTGCTTGTGTTTTCTACATGTACGTTTTATTAATTTACCAAAAATTTACATTCAAACAGAGTAGTTAAATTTGAAGGAAAGGCTGTTAAAGTATTTCTGTCAGAAATAAATTGGCAGCATAAATGTATCGCCTATATGATTTTTTGTTCGTACGTTATGGGAATTATACAAAGTTTTCAATACGTATCTTCGCCAAATGTTTTCCGGTAGTACTTAGTGATAAAGAGTAAGTTAAATTTTATCTCAATTGATTTTCCTGATTTTACAACATGATTTGCGGCTTATAGATCAATTCTCAACCGTGCTCAACTTTGTTTGTTTTATGGGTGTTGTAATATCTTCGTGTTTCTGAACTTGCGATAGAGTTGGCATGTAGTCTTCTTCGTGTTGTACAGTATGCTATATCTGGAGATCACGGTATATCGTGGATTCCAGTGAATCTTTATGTTTTTCTGCTGCAGTGGAATATTTATTCTGTGGCCAATCACTCGGCCTATGTTGCGATCAGTTTCTTGCTTTGGAGCGGTAAATAGTAGCCAGGCAACGAATAAACCAAAAATTGACGGTTTCTTCATGATGTTTATAAGCAGACGATATACATGCAATAACAAACTTCATTTCGAAAAAGAGAGTAGATAAGACTGGTCGATTTATATGAGTGACCAAATTACTAATTGACTAAATTACCGATATTAGCACATGACATGAGTTGTGTGGTTACTGGCATCTGTCCTAGGCGTATTATTATACTTAAATCATCATTTCTTAGTTCGTGTTCTTGATTTTAATTCAGCCTCCGTCATTAAGTAACATGTTTTTTAGGTCTTGTGTTGGGGATTTCAAATAACCCTTTTTCCAAAAAAACTCATTGTGCTTACTTTCTCAATATTTGAGCGGGCAGTTAGGTCGACTTTCAGTAGCAATCTAAGGCTACGATTTAATTAACCTACACTTGTTTGCTCAATAACGGACCAGAAACACGATATCTGAGGCGAACGTCTTTGTGATTGTCACAAATAGAATCTATCTCAACCCTTTTTTGTCTGTCTGTGTAAATACTAGTCGAGCCTGTTTTGGCTGATTGCGAACGATATCATTTGTCGAGCGTGTCAGACCAAAGAATAGGTTGCCAAGAACAAATCTTTTCGCTAGTAGGTTTTAGTAGTAGCAGTGACATAATGCGCAAGAATAAGCTGCTTTCATTCGCTTTAGTTTTCTCCGGTATGCATGATTAGTAAAATGTCCCATAGATCAAAATAATTGATTGTGACACGATATAGTGCCCTCCTAGTGTGTGATGAAGTACAGAATTACGAAACAATAGATAGGATTTCTGATAAACTACATGTAACATTTTTAGTAGCAGGGAAACGAGTTTTACAGCAATTCTGAGTTTTAATATGTGGTAAGGATGGAACTAATCTACAATTATTGTGGTCGATCATAGTAAAAGGAATATTCAGAATTTGTTCATTTAATTTAGCTCTACGAATTTCGGTTTACTAAAGATAGCGTGCTGTTCCACCCATTGCGTATCGTCATTAAAATTGAAGCTCTTAATAAATGCCTCTACATTTTATATTTAATTATGCCAATTTTTCCTTGGAATATTTCATGGAATATGTGTTTATTTGAATAATTCTTTAATTTCAGTTTCGTATTTATCATGCGCGTATAGCTTTAAATGTTATATACATATTCCGCATTTTAAATAGAAATGCTAATATCGAAAAGGAGGTTGCAATTATTCTCAATTTCGACTATTATAAATGAATTTGCTTCCTCGCGGAATTATGATATATATATACATATATATAAATCACTACTAGTCAAATTTTGCTCAAATCATGATTTCAAAGAAAAATGATAAGTAACTTAAAATATATAAAGACATTGCTTTAGAATATTTGAATTCTAAAAATAGACCAAGCTCAAATTTACCAATTTCAATGATACTCATCTCGATATTTCTCGCACATAAAATTTCTCTCCGTGCACGTAACAAAGGCATCCAAGGATGACGACGTCATAATTTGGCACGTCCGTTGTCATTGCATTTTTTCTTCTATTGGTCTTCACTGATGTGTGCAATGGATTTTTTATTTGTACGTTTTATTTATTTTCCTAGAATAGAATACGACACAGAGATTGACTACGAACAGTGGTCAGATTTTTATTGTCAGTTGTCTTGTCCGTAAGTCAAAACATTACTCCCATCTAGAAGAATGTGGGGTATATTTTAGACAGGTGCCGCTAAGATATTTCCAGCTATTCCCATGATAACGCGTGTTCAGCATTGACATCGTTGTTGCAAACAGTTACGTTAGCGGCCCACACTGTGCACTTTTAAGCATTCCCTTGGACAAACCGTATTTTACTTTCACAACGTATTCCAAGGAATATATGTTATTCGTCGCTACAGACACTACACTTATTGGTTTAATATTGTTTGCTAAGTCGTAAAAGGGTTGAAATAAAATGAAAAAATCTACACAATGAGTTGGGAAGTAAGGCTATATTGAATATGGTAAAAAAACTAACGAAAGAAAAGGAAAAATAAAACCAAGTGGATAATATGGGCCTCAACTCAAATCGTTTGCCGAGAAGAGAAAGACAAAATGTTCACGCCGATTACGCATCAAGGATGTCAAAACCAGTCTCGGGACAAGCGGAAAATTCGCTTCATAAAAGTAAATCAACAACGCACCTAAAAGGGGGAAATACGGGTTTGTTCTTAAGTGCAGTTTTAATCTATAAAACGGTAAATAAATAGTACACGATTTAAAGCGATGTCTGTGAAGACGTAAACATCTCACAATAATACATTTATGACGCTTTATTTCCGAATGTTCAATCATTTGATTCAATGTAAACAGATTGCACCTATGCACAATGTCACTAATGCTGAATGTCATTATTACTCTCCACTTCGTTTTGACTTTTCCAGTATTTAAATTTTATCAATTTTTACAGATTCTGAGTCGAACCAAAAGCGACATCGAACGCTTCGGGATTTTTTTAATTTTCGACGATCAAGGAAGCAAACTTATCATGAACGACAACTCACGACTGTGAATAAAGATAATGCGGATCCATCCCCAGATAATTCGAATAATTGTACAACAACCGCTATAAACTCGACTAAAGACTTTTCTGAGAATCCTGAAATTGTTGAACAACCGCAAGCTGCTAATTCAAGTCACGTCGATAAACTTGAATGCGAATCCAGGAATCCAATGGTGTCTACAGCTCTGTACAACAGGAGATTTAATCATTTTGAAATGGCGAAAAGGTAAAATATAAATAAAATTGCTCTAGTAGAAAAATGCTGTTTTTAGTTATTGTTTGTTTCTCTACTGTGGTAGGAAAGGTTAACATTCCTAACAGTGAGACGTTGGTTTTCATTACGAAAGTATTTGCTGGTCAATCCGCTTTCGCTCGGCTTCATCGAATTTGTTTTTCGCTTTTTAGACTTGATTAGTTTGGGCCATGCAGATCGTTCTTGAAGCATTTGCTATCTGCCGTCTATGGTTAGCTTAATACAATAGATTTTTACCTAGACTGGAAACAAAACACGAAGCGCATCAGTTCCTGATTGCAGGTGTCGGCTGCGGTCAGATGACAGTAAGGTTTACATTTAACAACTGGGATTTCGCTCTAGTGAGGCTATGTGAGCGGTATAAAGATACCACACATACCCACAGACAGAAATCAGATCCTGTCTTCAATATTAATATTATTGTTATTTGTAATGGTAAAAAACGTGTTTGTTGCAGACATTCCCTGGCTGCCAATTTTTTATCCAAGAATCTATCCTGGAATTCTACTGACGATCAGGAATATTTTACATCTATGGTTTCATTGCCGGGACAAGACAAAACATTAGCAGAAAAATATAATCACGTTGCGACACAAAATAATAATAATAACGAATCTATTTTACACTTGAAATTCAATGAAAAGACAGAACAAACGTCAGTGATTGGTACTCCTGTTGTTTCACGACGATACGATCGTTTAAGCTTGAATTTAAATAATAAAAAGACAGATATAAATAAACTGAAAAGAAATGCAAGCGACGTATCTCCATACTTACAAAGACACGGTATACATGGACTACCGGGGCCCGAGGAGGAAGAGATGAACTTTAAAGGAAGAACTGGTCTCTCACGATCTCAAAGTATGTTCAGACCAACCAAACCAACAACCCCCAAACCACTCAAGGATGCGGCATCTCTGAGTGATAGCCAATTTCGTTTATTTTGTCAACCGGTTATTCGTCGCACATCAATCGAGCACGGTAAGATTGTTATACTTTCGAAAATTGTAATATTTGGACTCAAATTTTATCACAATCCTCCAGTCGTGGAGTTGGTCATGGCTTTTCAGGTCGGTTAGAAAATAAATTTAAATAGAGTAATCAAATATTGTTGTAAGAATTAGTCGTAATCATCTCGATAGAAATCAAAGACATATGCTGTTAAAAATGAGTTTGGAATTTATATTTCATTAAATTAGTTAGATCAAGGTTCAAATTGTTTAAATGCAAAATAAAAAATACCGAGTTAGCACCACAAACAACTCCACTGTTAAATTACAAGCAAAGTAGTTTCGTTTTTAATGTAACAAGAAGCTATAATATACTGCAAGAAGGTTGAACATGGAGCTGTGTCGAGCCTATTATACATGCCTATTTTATATTAACATATATTTTATCAAAAAACAACTTCTTTCCACAGGACGACCTGGTGTTACAGTATCAGAGAGCATGTGTGATTTGCGACCACCGGTTAGTGTAAAACTGTTGTAGAACACAAATATAGTCCTAATTACATAATGGAATCTAAATTATTATTTTATGCAATATAGTAACCAAATAAAGGTCGAATAACGTATAAAAATACATACCTTATCATAAACATGCGTAGTTTATGATAAATGCCGAAAGAAAAAAAAACTATAGAATCAAAAGGGGTGTATGTTACACATATCAGACGTAGCATACCAAACAAGATGATGACTAAAGTTAAACACCCGACAACTGAAGTGGTATCAAGGAGTACTTTAAGCAATGTTTTTACAGCGATACGTAGACTTATTTAATTTGTTCATGTACTGCGATCATCAGCGATATATATCTAGGGACATATGGAAAATAAAAGAGGATACTCAGAATATTATAAGGTCACGTTCAACGAGCCCACGTGCGAAACTGAAGCATCGATAATAGAACAGGGTTAGAAGATATTTCTGGAGCGCTCAAAGTTATATTGAAAATTTTGGCAAGTTTATTGATCATAGATAGGACTTGTTCGAATAGCAAAGTTGAAGCGAAGATTGATAGCGAAGTTGAAGCATGACGAATTTACAATATCGAGGAGATGGCGAATAAACTTTCTTATTTTTTTAAGATAGCTGACAAACGAAATCTCTGCCCTAACCTAGAATATCTTATCCTTTAAAACAGTGGTTGTTAAACTTTTAAGGCGCTTTAGAATTTGTCAAGTCTCGCGCCCCACCCTCAAAAATAACTATTTAACAATAAGCTACAAATAACAGATAGTAAGGCGAAAGTATGTTTTATTCAAAAAACACGTTGAAAATACGTGGGTGGAACGTAAATAATGAAAAGTTTTGGAATGTAAATATCCAAAATGAGGCGGCCAAAGATTAAATCGAACTAAAAACATTTTTGGAAAACGACATAGTTCATATACAAGCGGATATCACTGTAATATCTAAATAACCGAAATAATCATACGTTGAGTTTAATCAATCTATACACCAGAACAATGGCATTATAATATGATGCCTTAAATCTCTTTATTGATCAATATTTTTCATTAGTACGAAAAATCCAATATTGTGGTCAAACAGAAAGAGTTGATCTTTTTGTCCGCAATCGTGATTCGCGATAATTTGTCCTATTCCACGTCGGTCAACTGTTCCATTCCAAATATAACATTAACGTTATTATTCGCGTGACTGCAAGCGTGTCATCATTATTTCAGCTATAATAACATGACGTGACAGTATGGCATTTTTGAAGGGCATTCATAACTTTTTGATAAGAGGAATATACACATTGCTGACATTTTCTCAAAACTTTCAAATGTGGCAGATTGACAAAACAAAATTATTGCTCCATTTCTCATCGATGACAATACAATACGCTACGGGATAGATTAATCTTATCAGAACAGTTAATTTGCTTAGGCGTACTTATCATTTTGAATATGACATATCTACAGGATATATCTAATCTAAACCGATTGTGTTTCATTGTCTTAAAGCGACATAAGAACGAAATGGTTGCAGACATAAAGTATCGCACCGCGTTGTCTTTTGTCTTAAATCCTGTATAAATGCAATTTGTTAAATTCATTAAAATGTAAGTAACTCTAGGTAATCCTTTTTGTAAGAGTATGTGCTGGTATCAAGCAGAGCTCAATTGTTTGACGGGCAGAGTGCGGTATAATCATGTACAGTCACATTGATTATTGACTTATGCGGCAGAATTGACTTGGAGTATAAACGTTGTTAGCAAAGATGTTTAATCCATTTCAGAAAGTTGTGACATGGAAACGTCATTCAGTAGCTCCTGTCAATGAGGACATTTACGAAGGTTTGATTTCATCTGAATTCACGAAATCTCTTGGAATGTTGAAAAGTCACGCAAAAAAAGGGTCAGGACCAATGTCGGAATTAGATCATGCCAGGTAATGTTATTCTACTTTTGGAAAATGAACTTTTTAGTACTAAAGACTAGAAAAACATGAGAATGTTGGCAGACACACAGCTTGCAAATGTACTGTCTATATATATAATTTTGTGAACAAGATTCGGTCTATTTTCATCTCCTCCAAACATAGGGTAGGACTGTGTTTGTTGCAACGATATTTCCTAATCGCACTTTGTTAATATTGGTTTAAAATTATCCTGAACGTTTACTTGATATAAGTCATGGATCTTTCAGTTAACATAGAGTTAAGTAATATTTCTGATCAACAACATGAATCTTTCTTAAAAAATAAAATTAATTTATTTTCAAAGAACTGCTTCGGATCGCCCAGTACAACTATTCAACAAGCGTAAGAACTCAAGAAGAAATTCGAATCTGTCTTTAGCGAACATCTCAACATCTTCCAAAAATTTGATTGAAGACGAACTATTATTGAAATCAAATAACATTCTGGAAAATAGTACGTTTACAAAAATGTATGAAAATTCAGAACACGATCTTGGGAATGAAGCTCCTCGACCATTCAACGTTAGAAGTGATCAAATGCGGCCGCGTGATCACCAAACCCAACCAAATTTCAGACACCGCGTAATGTCAGCGAGTTATTGCTACGACGAAAGCGTTGAGGTGAAATATGTATATATCTACAGTAATTTAATTTAGTATTTCACCTTGAGTAGCAAGTGCTCATTTGTTGAAATAAGTTTAATCATTCATAAAAATCATGCTCTCTGTTCAGTCACCTACGTACAAAAGCAAACAATTTTTATTGCTGGAATTTAGGCAACGAGATGTAGCCACACGCAACTACCGATACTATACGGACTTTTAATTTTGAGATTGAAACTTGAAATTTAGACTTGGTGTATGTCACCGAGTATTGGTAAACAGCATTCAGCTGTTTTAAATGCCCGATCTTTTAAAATGATTTTTATTGGTTTTCGACGTAAAATAGTCCCACGAGACTCGTTTCGACGAGCATACGTTGAAGTATTGAGCATACGACTTCAAGATGTGTTTAACAGACGCGGCTGTTATAATCGACGTTTTTGGGGGATCATATTACACTTGCTTCAGGTTACTCTAGCTCGAAGCCACTCTGAAAAGTAAATTCATTCTTTGCTGTTTGCATTAGGCGTAGACAGAGTAGACAAAGACGTGCTTGTCTTCGTAGATGTTTGATTGTTAAACGCTGGGTTGACGTGAACATGGTTCACTTGTATTATTACAGTGGTGAATCCGGATACAAATTTACCCAAACTTGGGCCACAGATGAACCACGAGCAAAATATACCTTAAAATGCATGGATATTCTTTTTGTTTATAGAATTATATAGTTGGAAACGGCATCAACCATGCATCAGATTCTCTTGAGTCATTAGATTTTAGCACTTCATTGAGCATACCTACTGATTTAGATCGAATGCATTGGGAGAATAAACGTTTGGAAATGTCACGAAATGCAGGTAATAATTTTTGCTGTGAAGAGAATTTTTTTTTGTATATGAGTAACTTCAATTTTTACTGAAAATTTTACACTTTTCTCATAGACGGTCAATAATGATAACTTATGCAATATTTAATAGATTGCGGGTCAAATTGTGTAAATTTTGGTTCATCCAAACACTCAATGTCACTCTACTGGTAGCATTATAATCAAACTTGTTTGTTGACAGAATAAATTATATTCAACAAACATGATATTTAAGAATAGCATAATCTTTTTTTACGATATTGCATGTTTATTGGCAAGCTTTCGTTAGGTTATGGTCTAACTTCTTCAGACAAAACAAGCGTTGTTTGATTAAAAATCTTGTTTTATTTGAAGAAGTTGGATATAACGGAAATTTGCTGATATATTTGCTATTTCGTGGAAAGATATTATGCTATTAATATCATTCATATTATAATACTATCTCGTCCAAGCATCCGAGGTACGTAGTAAACAAGGGGAAAGGACTTACATTTCAGTACAACAAATCCCAGTACCCTAAACATAATAATACCAAAATTTCTCTCTGTGTAGGGGGCACCACTTTTGGTGTGAGATTAGATTTTTGGTCATATAACATTGAAGATTTTTTAACGTTTTTGCCATCTCTCATTTACTGTGTAATTGCAATAATCTTGTAATCAATGCTCCAATATATGATTGTTTGATGCCTAAGAACTGCAGAAAGTGCAAATATTCGTTTTTATAAAGAACTGAACCTGTTCGTCAATATTCAGGTGCATTGTGGGAGAATGATTATTCAACATCTTATCACATCATGGATATCGCTGATATTTTTGAAAGAGAAAGAGATGAAAAGGTAGAAAAACTTTATAATCCAATTTGGTTGCTAATTCATCCACAGTAAGATTATTGCCATATGATTGATATTGATAGTGTGTCGCAGTTATTCAATGTATGTCAAGTTTTCTGAAGTTATAGTACATAATTTTATTTACCGATACTTATTCTTGCTAAAACAGATTTTGGCAAATCTTTCTGGTAGCGTTGTTTCGTCTTACGCTGAAGCATTATGGGATCACGTGACTATGGATGAAGAAGAACTTTCGTTTCGGGTCGGTGACGTCATCTTAGTGAAAAGCATGGAAGATCCAGTATGGTGGTGGGGAGAACTTGATGATGCTGAAGGGTGGCTGCCCGCGTCCTTCGTAAGGGTAAGTTCATAAGAACAAGCGGAAATAAAATAGAGTATTCTGAAAATAGAGATTGAATACTAAGCAATGACACTTTATGGAACATGGAAACATACCGATATGTCTAACTAGGTCAATAACTATGATAGTCGTCTTCAGCATTCGTGTTTATTTGTGCTTTCGAATTCAAATTCCGAGTCTGACGTCATTAGATCATAAATTACACAATAAAAATACAATAATGCACAAAGAATAACTTTTGAGAAGAACTACAATAACTTTGCAAATTTGGTTGAAAAAATGTAATATGTTTGTATAGGCCTGAATTCCAAACAATACGCAGTTGGAAATCCTGAATCTTACACACAAAAGATTTCTAGTCGACCGAGTTACACTACTTTGAAATTTCATATTAGTTACAATATAGGAAATTTGTGATGTGCCAACTTTTTCAAGAAAATTACATTTCACAACGTAAAATTTCTTCTTCAGGTCATCGTTAACCAGTCATGGCCTTTATCAATGGACGATCAAGAGATCGAACGTCCAAATATCAGAGACTCGGCGACGTGTAGTGTGGACACGATTGATGGGCAAACAACAAATATGAAGACAATCCCAGACATACAAACAAAAACAGCAGGATCTGTTAATTTAACGACTTTAAATAAAATGCGAAGTAACGTTGTGAAGGAAATATTAAATTCTGAGCGGGATTTTTTGAAACATTTGAGAGACATCGTCGAGGTAATTTAAACCATCAAAATATAGATATAAACAATAAAGTTATATGACGTTAACTAAACTATATTAATGAATATTAAGAAAATATTAATAAAACATCTAAAGTATTAAAAAAATGGAAAGTTTGTTTATTGTGGTATCGCTTCAAAGTAGAACCCCGCAGAAATAATTGTAAGATAAATGGATCGAATAAAATAGATAAATATATATTTTACTCAAGGTCTGCAATGAAAAGGATATAAAATCCCCCATTCATTGTGTATATCGGGGTATTGGGCATTAAATTATGATACACAAAATGTGAGGCAATTATAAACAATTTTATTTTATGAAAATATTATCGGAATCAGAAACATTTTAAAATATTAGCAGACAATGCCAAAAAACTAACCCTTTCTCACGTTTTTGCAGTGATTTATTTCAAATCTTTTGATAGAGATTGAATTATCTGATTCTGTGGGATATGAATGAGTTCATAACTAACGGATCACGAATAGCAAGCATTATATAGTTTAAAAGATGCGAATTTGATAATTTTCACCTTAATTTCTTAATATTTCACAGGGATATTTAGAAAGATGCAGAAAAAGGATGGATATGTTTTCATCGGACTTTATTCTTACTGTCTTCAGTAACATCGAAGATATTTACAAATTTCAAGGACAATTCTTCAAACAACTTCAGAAATCATTCCAATCTGAATCTCCTCATGAAAGTGATATTGGATCAGTATTTCTTCAATATGTAAGCTGCAAATTCCTTACTATTACAGTAGTTATATGATAGTGAGGTGAAAGTATAAGTAGTGTAAGAATTATAGTCAATTCCTAATGCAGTATTGCGTCAAAGGCAATTGATTTGATTACGGTGAGCGAATTTCATTTTTGTTCAAAACAATCGCAATTATTTTCAACCACTTGAAGTATTTCTTGGATCAGCGGCCATGCAAAAATATCTTCATCTGCGTCAGAAGCTATGCAAAAACTTGTCATTGCAAAGTAAATCAACTAAGTTATTGTACGATCAATGAATTGGATGTCGACTCGAGACCTTGTCAAATTTCTCTGATTTAAATTATAAAAACGTTTTTCTTTCAATTTTAAGTAATTTTTCGGAAATAGCTAGCGTTCCTCCTACCGCTTGAGCATGATGTAGTAATTAATGATTAGTTTGAAAAAAGCTGAAGACAATTATTGAACGACTGATTGAAAGTTATTCATATTTTTCTGCCATAGACCGACAGAAAATTGTTGTTCAGAGGACCAAAAAAAAAAACAGAATCCGACACGTATCCTAGAGGGAACATAACTTTTGTGTAAAGCGTCCTATATAGATTACTGGAACTTTCGGATTCGATCATAATCAAACAGATGTTAAAGTATCAAATACATTTTCTTCACTTTATTTGAAGTACTCAAGAAATTTATGGGTTCTATTTTTTGAGTCATTCTGTATTATGTACTTGAATATTGATAGCCAAGAAATTGGTACTGCTGTGGCACAACCTATGGCAATGGCTCATTTGGGCACCATATCTGCCCAAATAAATGATGAAACATGTCATGCTGTCAAACAAGAAACATCTTTACTGTCTGCATCCTATCAAAATAAAATAAATTAAAGTATATGTTCTTTGTTTTAGAAAAAACAGTTTGAAATATATTCTGAATATTGTAATAATCACCCATCAGCGACTTCCAAACTAGCCGAAGCAATGCAATCGAAAAAATGCCGATATTTTTTCGAAGCTTGTAGATTATTGCAACAAATGATCGATATATCCATTGACGGATATTTACTAACTCCAGTTCAGAAAATATGCAAATACCCACTTCAGGTAAATATTTGTTCTGGAATTAATCATTGTTTTTTACGATACCGTATGACCTTGTGATTAGTAATACCGATATTTCCAAGTAATCGCGATAAAACATTGATGACACCATTCATCATCTTTTCAAGTGATTGGTTACAAACGAAATTTCTGTACCATTTGGTTTTCCCCTACTAACTCATGCTTTACGGAATACCTTTTCACTTAGCTGTTCACTGCTGACAGGCTAACTTGAATTACTTACGTCGACTTACTGACTTATCTGTTGCAAGGATAAATGTATATTACTCTTAGAGTGACAATAGTCGCTTGACAATCTTCTTCTCTCAGAATCTTACAACTTGTAGTTATGATTTGATCAAATTTTATAAAAAAAATAAATCGAGCCCAAAACTCCAGCCCATTGTGCCATTAATTAAATACACAAAGATTGCTTACATACAAGAAAGTCAAATGCTAACAACAATGTCAACCGAATCCCAGCCAAATATTAAAAGATTTTTATCGAATGTTCGTGTATTACGAAGAAATAGGAAATTTGGAATTGAACATTCAGCCCCATAGGAATTAAATTCAAAAGCATCTCTTGCTCTTCCATCAAGTACTGTACAATTGAAACAGATTATTCCATCAGTTGCGGAAAAGTGATACTTTTCACTGCATAAATTTGTATAAAACTATTATAAAGATTTCAAAACATAAATAAATTAAGCCGCACCATGAAGCCTAAGTTTGCCTGGCTATCCGCCCCGCTTTAGTATCGATGTAATGAGAAATCTGCATAAAAGGAAATAACCTTCACCTCAAGTTTGGAAATGGAAATAAAATAATCCTGTCTTAACCTTTTATCAGATTTTCTAGTGCCATTATATTAAATTATGAATATAAATGTAATTTTTAGCTGGCTGAGTTATTAAAATATACAAATTCGGATGATCCAAACTACAAAAATGTGGAAAAGGCATTGGAAGCGATGCAGGACGTCGCAAGAATGATAAATGAACGAAAACGTCAGGTTGAAAATATTGAAAAGATAACTTCGTGGCAGAAGAATATCATTGATTGGCAGGTAACGGGTTTTGTCCTTTAATCTGTTTGAATAAGGAACTTCGTGGTTCTAAAAAACTGTTGGTAAGAATAGAAATCGGGGGTTCAAACCACCTCGCATCAATTTCAATAAAAACCTTCTGTTGTTTTACTTTGTTCAAGTAAATAAACCAGTTATAAATATAGTGAAGTTAAATCATAAATTTTATGAAATCTCAATAATAATAAATCTGTATGCTTTTCTTTTCGATAGCAAACACGATCTTAAAAAACGTAACATTTCGTTTCAGGATGCCGATGTTTTAGATCGAAGTACAGAATTAATTTATTCGAACGAACTTTATGTTCTCACTCTTCACAAAGCGAAACCGCAACTCAGGGTCGGATTTTTATTCGATGGACAATTTGTTATTTGCAAAAAGGTGATTTAATATAATCATGCTGAGAGTATTAGGAACCTTTTTCCAATGTTTCTTCCAAACGACACGATTGTAAGTTGTGTCATACTCACTGAAACATTACCATGGTAATTGAGCAAATCTTTATTATTTGCTGAAGTTTATCAAAATTAATGTCACCAACATTATCCAAAGATTAACTAACGCATTCAAGTACAATTGTCAGTTTTGCCCAAACACTGAGAGATGTGATTATGTAGAAATCAGCAGTTCTGAATTTCTGTCATTGATTGATTCAATGAAAAGGAACAGGAATGTTTTATTCCATGAATTTTGTAACCGAAATAATAAAAACTACTCATTGGTGGGAAAATTGCTGTTTGCTTAACATCATAACTGACTATTATTCTTATTCAGGATTTGTTACGAAAAGATCTTTTGTACTATAAAACTCGACTGGATTTGAGTAAGTTCGCCATTGTCGATTCAGATGAAGTTTCGAATGATGATCTTGCAATTCAACTGGTATCCGGTACGAATTTAAAACATTGGTGGCAAATGAAATCAACCGATTCTTCTGAACAAATTATTTGTCTATGCAAAAAAGAAGAAGGAAAGAAAAGATGGATCAAAGAATTCAACAAAGAAAGAACAATGTAAGTCAAATCCTCGGTTTATTCCAAGTAGCATTTTGTCTACCACAACACTGAGCGCAAGTGTGTAGCTATATTGTGACTAAAACAACTATCTCGCGTAACGTCGCGCACAAAATAGGTGACAATGCAATATAAAACAAACAAATTGTATATTTACACTTTCAGCATGACAATATTTTCTTAGTAGGTATTGACATTCTGTCATCACAAAGCAATTGTCTTATTCGCTAGTTTAGGTTTTCGACACTTTCTCCTGCAAAAGCAAATATCTTTTCAGCTAAGCATTCTTCATGTGACTGCGAGAGCTGGCACAAGTCTGGTGATCAAAAATGAATGTAGCATGCATACCTGTTTGTCGCAGCTTGTCAAATGAAGCGTGGCGTCAGAATCGTTAATTGAAGCCACCATTCCGAAATTATTGCTTTAATTGTCAATTACCATTATGGCCTTATTTGAGTTTATTATTAGGCGGTCCAACGATAAATTACATTGCGGAATAAGTCGTTATAAACATCTCCATTGCATCCTTCTGTCGTAGTACTGTTGTTGAGATGCAAATGAAAACATGAAAGCGTTTCGGGAGTAGTAGATAAGGTTAATTCACTACAATTTAATATTATCCACTATAAAAAAAATTTCCACATGCCTTTATCGGGTATCAATGTGGTAATTTCAATTTTAATCTATTGGCGTGAACAATAGGTTCACGTCAATAGAAGCCATAAACCTTTTGTTCTTAACAAAAAGCAGATTGTTATATGTCGATATAATGCCAATATTTAAAATTATCAATCCGAGATACACCTATTAGAGTCAGTTTCTGCTAAGATTTTTCACCTCAGCCATTTCTATACACTGTTCAATATATTCACAAATGAAATATTTTTTTAAATTTTTTACCGATATAGGTCTGAAATAATTAATGAACATCGATACGTTGTATCGAAAGAAATCAAGCGGAAAATTGTGGAAAATGCAACTTTACGTTGCCAGAAGCAAGGAAACGAAACTCTCAGAAAACAAACTTACACCAAACGTTGGAAACGCAGTTGGACAAAACATTATTTAGATCGAAATAGAAATTTTAACACAATCCTCAGTGGATTTTCTTAAATATCACTTCAAAAGTCATGTGGTATTTGAAGTCGTGTTACTTTTATCATTCGAGCGTATTCTCAGGAATGAGTAAATACCATTTTACGAAAGGGTAATTGTAATTTTTCATTGTAGAACAGATGATAAAATTCAAACTGAATTAAATAGTTAATACCAGAAGGGAGTTTGCACAGTTGAAACACATAATAAGTTCTTTCTCTATAGTTCTACGTGTTCTTTATTGGATTCTTGTGTTGACCAATCGTAGTATGGACATTCCAAGTTTATAATATATAACAAAACGATTATTTTACTGAGTTTTACCATTCTTTGACAATTTTTACATTTTTATTAATCTTATATTTGTGTATATTATACTGTTCATTTTAGATAAAATGTCGTAAAAAAATGTCCCGTCTGCTTTTGATGCCTTTTATTACATTGGTGAGTGTCAGTATACTTCAATACCAATAATGATTGATAGGCTGTAAAAATAGAATCAGCGTGGGTGTCAATAATTTAAGCCGAACTTGACACCAGAACTTAGGTTACACGTGGGCCTGTAAGACGCATATCTCAACTTCGGCGCGGTGGTGTGGCTCATCGTGCTAAGCGTTAAAAATACGCTCACCACCGCACCTCTGACTACTTTGCGTGAGTTTGCAGGTTCGAATCCCATGCGGGGTGGATATGTGCGAGAGGATTGCACCACCGCACCTCTGATTACTTTGCGTGAGTTTGCAGGTTCGAATCCCATGCGGGGTGGATATGTGCGAGAGGATTGCTGGACTCCACGCCGCCGTATATGGTGGTTAAATCCTATTCTGTTTAGTGAATTCAAAAATATTATCTTATATTCAGACAATATTTGTTGCAAATAACCATCTCTCATAGGTGATCTTTTATTCTGTCATAGAGGTAAGTGCCATGTGATGAGATGTGCGCCACTATTCCAGTTTTTCTAAAGTTTGCAGGAGAGCAGAAAATATCGCTGACTTGTCTGTATTTCATCGAAAAATGTCGTATATAGAAAGTCGTAAATATCTGATTCAACAAAATTCGTCTCATTTTTGACAAAACCTTGAACATCGACGAATACCGCTCTGATACAGTAACCGTCCTGCAGTATAGAGAAATGAGTAAAAAGGGGGCGCTAAAGCACAAATCGATGGACGATGATTCGTTGAGTAAAAATATCGACAAATCAACAAGATTCGGGACGGGGGTTGTTTTTATCCAAAAAATTCAAAATTGAATAACAAGAAACAACCCCACAAGTCACCATCATTATGAAATAGTAAACTCACACCATGATAACTGTGGTTACCCAATGACTTGAGAATGTTGAAAATTCTTCGAGATTGTTGTTTGAACATTTTGTAAACACATTTACTGTTATAATGGTATATCATTTACTATTTAGTCCTAACGCAATTTGATATAAACCGAGTTTCACGAACTTATTTTTCTAAAGTATCTCTTGACATTTTAATTTCCGTATGTATACCATCTTCGTTGAGCTTTTATATTATGAAAAAATAACTACGTGTTTATATATACTTTTAGTACACCTTTACGCCAGGTTAGTGATTGTGTTTTAGTTCATTTTTAATTGTATTTTGTACTTTAAAAGCTACCACTTATAAATTTTTATCCAGGGCTGTCACAATATCAGCAGTAATTAGGTTCAAGAAAAAATTTAAAATACTTCAAATTTTCCAAGTTAAAATTGCCGAGGGAAATACAAAAACTCTTCATAATATCCCTGTGGTCAAACGAATATTTTATTCCACATGTATGTAATGTGATTGTCGTGAGCACATTATATTATACTGTTAGTGATGCCATTGTTAGATATTGTCTAATGATCAACAAGTACAGAACAAATGAAATTAGGAAAATCAAATCATCGATTTTACTACATTGTTATATCGCCATGGAGTGATGATGTTCATTTCTAATAATAAACCAGAGAAAAAAATAAAAAATTATTTTGTCATTTTAAATTAAAAACAACAAGATTCGAACTATAGTTTGAATAAAGAATATATGTATATTTTAATTGTATGACCTATTTCAATTTTTGACCTTTTCAATAGTCAATATATACCGTGAGTCCATGCTAAGCATACGTAACACAGCCTAAGGGCAAATACCCTTTCGTTGTATATGAATACAAATACCATCTTAACCTGCACTAAAAATATTAGACGATAAAAATATTTGTTCGGTTGAATAATTGAAAACATTTATTTAATGGAATATTCTAATTTTATGTCTATTGTCATAAATTTATATTTTTAGGTGATGACTAAAATAAATATATGAACATTATAATAACGTTATAAATGGCGATGATGACCTATATCTAAAAATACCTCGTCTGAGATTAAATCAGACCGGACTAATTATGTAACTTTAGTAAACTAATGACATAAAATGTCAAATATCGTACATTCCAGGACTACCGTGATAAATTGTAGTTGACTATTTCTAGATAACTTTATGATGCAATTCACGTGTAAACGACGAAAGAATTTTGTGCATAACATGCTTTCAATACACAAAAAAACAAACACAAGAGTTATGTTTGCATGCATATTTGACTATTGTTGTTCGAAACGGCGTTATTGAAAATCTAATTCACTTCATACCTAAAATCATATGAAAGACATGTCGTTGTACGGGAATACAAGGCAACAGTATATTGCTGGTAGTTTATTAATCTTAGCTTAAATAACCGTGTGTACTTCGCATTCCCAGTACACAATTCCTTTTGTTGTCTAATAGTGAAAACTTTAACTATTTAGTTCCCGTGAACAAATTATTCCAACATAAAATTGTATTTAGTTCTGATAATTATTTTTCACAGTGTTTATGATATGATTTGAAGTGTTTTCATCAATTTGAACACTTTAGCCCTGGGCAATATGTTAACAAAAATATCATTATTTAAAATACACCCAAAACGTTATTCACGTTGCAGGCAGAACTGCGCGATTGATCGCACAATAGGGTATAATGCATTTCAAATAACATATATATCTAATTTCGTAAGTAAGTGCATGCACATGAAGACAAAAACAACGTATTATTTCCAAATGTTGTTGTAATATTTCTATGAATTTTTATGGAAGTTCAAGTTATAACAATTTCAATGGCAATATTGAGTTTGCGTAGTATACATTCATTTCTATGTGCAGTACAGCAGATATTTGTGGATATTAATATGTTATTTTGCCTGCGGGGCGGGAAGTTTTGCGTACCAAAGCATCTTAATGGAAACGAAACCAAAAATAATTAAATCATAAACAAATTTGGACAGCACTTTCAATTCTAAATTTAGACAAAATGAAATAAAATGGCGGTACAAAGCGGTTCACAGTGGATGCGACGTTTGAAAGCGAAAGAAAGATAATGGTAGGGATTGAAATGATCTTTCGGAAATTAAAATTTGACGAGCTTGAGTCTAATCAACATGGTTAACATTCTTTTCATAGCTATGTCAAAATACATTGTTTGTTTTTTTGAATGTCACGACAATAGAAAAAAGATAGCAACAAGAGCTATGGGATGGAAGATGAAAATGTGATAGTTGCGCTTTTATTACTCAAGGCGAGTACGAAGACTCATTAACCATACAACTATCAGGTGAGTGATGCGATACCAACTATTTTTCGTGGCCCTATGCTGTTGCACAGTCTGGTATGCTTATAATGCAAGGATGCTGTGGCTGTAGAAAAAATTATTCTAATTGATAACTTACAGAAATGCATTTGTGTTTGTGTGCATCAAGACTCTTGAAACAAATAGAATAACATTTTCAAGATAGAATATTTGAGCAATATTTTAATTTTTCCTAATAGTAAGTTTATAAAATTCACTCAAACTGCAGCATTGTGAAATTATAAAATTACGACGTTTCTGATTGGCATCTAACTGCAGTAAAACGATGATTTTGTAATCCAACAACTATGTTGCTCTCAACGTACTTTGTAAAAGACGAGTTCATCCTATAATGAAACGCATGTCTAACAATTTCTGAGTAATAGCTTCTTAATTGCACGAGCCTACTTTAAAAGTACTTGCTGTATGCCGAATACGGTACCGAAGTTTTAGTAATATTTTAGTTGTACCATGCGTAAGTATATTGTAATCTAATTAAAGTTTCAGCTACGATTTGGCATTATTGTCATATAGGACTTTGAACAATTACGTAAATGGGTATAAGACGACACGTTAAAAACTTGATGAAATATTCAACCTAACTATAACATGATTTTTTTTTACCGAACAATTTCGTAATTATAGTTTTATTACTTTTAATGCGTTAGAAAGGTTATTACAATTAATAAGTTCTTCTTTTTGTTTTATGTGCCTTGTTACTTGCAAGGTTGTCGGACAAGATGACATATTTATGGATTCATATTGTGTTGAAGTTGTAAGTAAATAAGAGCGGGATTTAGCAATCTTATTTTTGTACTGCAAATTCTTTTTTTTCTGCTTCGAATTTATGCATAACACTACTGTAAAAATCTTAGAAACAAACTTTTGAAACTACAGCGAATATGTTTTTCATATTTAAACTTTTTTAAATATAAATATTTCAGGAAAGCTAAATGTGGCCAACGTAGAAGCGTCAGTAATCAATGTCCACATCATTTTGTAAAATCTTGGTAAAATCTTGTTTCTTCACTCAATAACCCGGTCGGATTTCAAGATTAAATGTTTACATATTACGATAAAAATTTTTACCACCATTTTTTAATCATAATTTATCAAATATACCCTCAAAAAAATAATATCAGATTGAAATTTAAGCAGAAGCAATTTGTGTAAATTATTTTGTAAAACTATTCAGACATTGCATTTAAGTAATCCGAGTAAGAGATAGAAACTCGACTCTAAATTGGTCATACGCTCATTACTGGTGTAAGAAATACATATACTGTATGTCAAATAATATTGAGTTGAAAAGTGTTATTTTAAATGGATAGCTTCTAAATATAATCCGGTATTATTAGAGATTTTAAAGGTGTCGTGGTTATTGAAACGTAATAGCATTAACTAAATTTGGAATATGTTTATATATTTTTTAGCTCAGCTTCATGCGTTTATTAAATTTTGCTCAAAGTCCATTTCTCATTCGCATGCAATCGAATGTGCTTAATTGATTATTTAAATATAATTATAGGTATCTTTAGATGATTCATATATGACAACTCTTTAATGATCGTTGATTTAGGCCTGCGTATTTATAATCTACAAACGTTCTCTTTTTCGTTTCGAAGAAGTTTTTATGTGAACATACTGTTTTTAAATTATGCCATTAATAGAAGAGCAGAATTGTGTACTAGTTGTTCTAATAGTGGATTGTTTTAAAAACTGATCTAAAAGTTCTTTGATAGTAACAATTTTGTAACAATTGACTTTTACAAATAATGCACAATATTTCCATATAGCTACAATCAAATACAGATTTCAATATAGTTACGGATTACATTTTTGCGTTTTGAAAATTCCTTAAATTCAATGTTAAACAGAATCAGGTGTACGTTTCAAACAGCTCTGGGAAGAAAAAAAAAACTTTACATTCTGAACATTTTCAATTTATTCTATGAGGTAGCATTACGTGGTACTCAAACAAATATATAACTTATAGCTCCCAAGGTTTCAGAATTTACACACGTATATATATAAACGTGTTCAATGGCGCGATGGCGATAGTGACGTAACAAATATTTAAGCAAATAAACCATTCAACAAAATAATCCATGATTAATCGAACAAACGAACCATCAATGATGGAACATTATCTTACCATCAGATAATGTACTATATTTTGATGATATAAAAAATGAAATATTTTTAACAAATAGTTTTCCTATAAAACAGCAGAAATATAGTCCACGCCACATCACAAATCGTAATATTTGAGAAGAAACATCCCTGCTATGTTTATTGTAACCCGAGAACAGAAAATGACATAATTTCGACCACACAGGCTTCTCAAAATTCCCGTAATCTGGTGCTCCATGTGTCACCCGCTATCGAATACTCAAAAAGAGGAAATGAGGAAAATATTGACGTTGATGGACTCATTATTATCTAATATCCTGGTATTTCAGTTGCGAAAGAAAACAGGAGAAATATACGGTTAAAGTCCTATTATATAATGATTCACGCAAAATGTTGTATGATTTTGCTATTTATAGAATTTTAGAACCATTATAGACTTATATCGTGTGAGACATTTAGATTATAATGATCTGTGTACGCAACGAAATATGTATTTAAACACAGCAAATATTTACAAATATAAATCTTTTAAAAATGTGAAAGGTTGTTGTACTGTTTAAATACAAACTACAATATTATGTTGAAGGCAGAGTACATCTAAAAAACTTCACAATTTTTTTTTTCATTTAACGTATTTCTTGGCAGAAACTGGACAACAAGTCATTTATGGGACTTTCCGAGAAATAACGTGACCCGAGTAAGCCAACAACTCAAAAAATGACGTAGAAAATATATGATTAATAACAAAATATGAAAATACGATAAACCACATTTCAATGGTCAGGACATTCGAGAGTTGCTTTGAAAACAGTACGAAACTAAAAATTACGTCATGCCCGAATGAATCCGAAGACTATAAAATGGGCAATATTTAAGTTCTGGCTACTTCAAAAAATACTATCAAGCACTTGCTAAGTTCGGCGAGGCATGCACAATCTGCGGAACGAAGAAAACGTGACTTTACTGTTTAAACGTATTATTCTTTAATTAAGTATAGTATATCGTGCAAAGTGTAATTTTACTTGAGTTGCACGAGGACACTTGCCGATTGAATATTTTAAGTGTTAGTCAAACAAACTGAAGAAGTACTTACACATGAGATTGTAAATCTAAAAAGGATGCCATTGCAATTTTTACAAAGATCTCAAGTACAGGACACAGAACTGTCTATGTAGGAGACTCAGCCATTGCAATTGTAATTTATGTGATAGTTGAGATTCACAAGGTTCGATACTGAACACGTGTTCAACCGAGCAATTCAATCAATCTGCAGAAAATCATTGCCATAGATTAACTTTGATTCTAGAGTTCAATCGAGGTGAACCCATTACGTGCATTTATAGCGATGCAATTTCAAGGTCAGCTTAATATTTAATTCTTGAATTATTTGCATACTTGTCCTGACGAATTTGCTTTAAAAATATCAGCTAGGCCCAAAGTTCGATATCATACAAATCTTTGTATAGCTGTGGAACAATGGATCACCTCTTAGCAAGTAGTATTACGAAAGCATTCACTGAATTCAAGGTGATGTAACTGCTTCGTTCAATTGTTGCTTTCTCCGGCGTGAGTTGCGTATGAACCGGGCCAGATTTATGCCGTAATTTTTTGTACTGAATACGCAGAAATGCCGTACCTCGTGAAGCATTTTTGTCGCCAGCGTAATTTTCAAATGACGGCAACGTCGCTCGAGGGAAATTGTCTACAGTAGAGAATATTTTCGCTACCTATTAGCTTTAGGTCAATTTAATAATCGAGAAAAAATTACGTAGTTTCTTTCGTTTTTCGGAAGCCTTAAAAATCTCGTTCGTCGCATCAGTTTCCACAGATTAAGTCGCGGCGGTGGAGTGCGGAGAGTTTAAATGAATACTGTATCTAGAAGCACGTGTTTCCTATATGGGGATAGTTTCACAACCTCTTATTTGTTATTTTCAGATCAACATAGTGAGATATATTTATTATTTTTATATTATCTTTATTAAAAAAAGAAGCCATCGATATGAACTGTGCAGGTGAGTGGTATATCCTGGAATAACCTAGAAATTGTCAATTTTCCAAACAATATAAGTAAATGCGTCCAAATACTGACATTCTTTACTGTTTTAACATTTTGCAATAGAGCATACTTTTTATTTTTAGGGCATTATGTTATTTAATTAAAAAAAGTCGCCTATTTTACTAAAATTCTATATCGCTTGAATTTACTATTTTATTTCAACAGGTATATTTCCAGTATTTCTCGTGTTGAGCCTATACGCGAAATCATGCTTTTCGTGCTTAAGTGATGACGATTGTAGTTATGGAGGTGAATGTGATAAAAGTGAGTTATTAACTTTATATTGAACATTAGTTTCGTTGTCATGAGTAAGAATTTCAACATAATCCGATCAGACGTACGTACAGATGGTTGAGATGTCCCAAGATAACAAGGTGGTTACCATGGGATATATCTAACATATTCATAATAGTTTCTTCACTTTAAATTAATAAAAAAAAATGTTTTGTTTATATCTTCATTCATGCATTTTTTTAACAGTTCTGCAAAGGTGCACGTGCAACTTGGCGTGTAACAGGTTCACGAAACCCAAACTGGTATGTGCTGGCAAGAAAATGCCTCAAACGGAATGCAAAGCATTGAACGTGGCATGTGAGCAACAGAAAAATATCGTGTTATCCCCGTTTGACCTTACAGTATTTCGAAAGACGGGGAATTGCAAAAAGATGGGTAAGATGAGTCAGGTCTTCTTATTTCTCTATATAAAGTTCCAAGTATGGACTGCGCTTCAGGGCGCGATTTATTCATGTCTCCTAATTGGCCGAAAAAACGTTTATGATAGAAACATTCATTACATCATTGCATATATAACTTTGGCATTCATTCCTCTACAAAATCTAGTAGAATGCTGAAGAATCATGAATCTTCAGTGAAAAATAGTATTCAACTTTTTATGCCGAATGTTATGACAACAAGTTCAATCCTGTTATAATATTATTATTTATCAACAGTCACTGGATCAATAGAAGAATTTTGCGAAGATCAAACGATTTGTAGCGGTAACGGAATATGTTTAATACGGGTCGGTCAAATCCAGCCATATTGCAGGTAATAATGCACATTTCATAATAATACAAAAAAAAAAAACTTGTTCAGATGTTGAAGCATTTCCAATAAATAGCATCTAGCGCGGCAAATTTGTCTAATCTTGTTTCGACTTCAATTTCCCAATTTTATAATCAGATTGCTCGTGAAATCTAACCAAATGACATTAAATAGCGTTTGAAGTTTCCGTGCGAGTATTGTATAAAGTGGAAAGAAAAATCCAGAAATGTTCAGATTTACAGGAAAAAGGTCGACGTTGGCTTATTCAGTATTTGTATGTTCTTCGTAACTTGAGATTATGTAGTCAATAACAACATACTCATAAATCAATTACGAAACATAATATGTTAAAATTGCAATAAAACATAAATGGTATTTATGTTTTATGTCATCAAATACATTACAATTGGTCGAATTAAGATAAAAACATTATAAACATAAAACTGTATCTACGAAATCATCAGCACCTTACTAAAAAATATTTCAAAGACTAGCGGCTTTCAATCTGGGCGCAGTTCGTGAGATCACGCGAGTACATATTGTGAAACAAATATACGTAAACAACAAGTCCCACTTTCATCTCTAATTATTGGATAGCCAGCGTCTCAGTGCTTTTGGTATTTGTTTGTTTACATTTTCATTGGAGTATCAATACGACTTTGTACGCTGAGCCTCCAGGGTACATATTGTTCGTTTTTGCTCGACGAAAGTGGTCAATGGCGCTGCTTGCGATTGGATGTTAGGATGTCAATAACACAACCCTTTGAACGTTATATTGAAGATGGCCACAGTTTTTCATCTAAATTGCTTCTTTTCCGGAAAATAAATATTCATGCCATAATGGTTTCGTTTTACAGATGCGTTGAAAATTATAGCGGAGACAGATGTCACATAAAAAGCCCTAAACTTATGCCCGTGGCAGATGGGGACGACACAGACACGGATGGTCATCAAGGCAACACGGTAGGCACGGGCCATTCGCGAAGCATGTACTACATTGATCCTGCCCCTTATGTTGCTGCTGCATTCGGGACCTGTGCAATCGCTGCATGTATTCTCTTCTATTTGCGCAGGAGGTAATTAACATTCTTTTCTTACTCTTCGGACACTTCCTAGTAGGATTATATGAGAAAATTTTGAGTTCTTGTTGGTCATCGACGATTCATTTTCAACTAACAAGATTGTAGGTCCTGTACAGCACAAGAGTACGCATACGAATTTAGTAACATTACTCAGGGTAGCACATATTTTTTTTACTTTGAAAAACGATTTAGAATGTACGACGTTGTTGGTTGTCTTTTATATCGAGTAACTTCAACATAAGTTTAACGTTTCAATTTCTGCGACATGCCTTTACACATAAAACTTTTTCACATATTTCAATAATGAAATAAGTGGTCATCGATTTCGAAATACTTTATTCTTACTAATAATCAAGTAACTATCAAAAGCAATTCTGCAATTTAAATATTTAGTTTAGCCAATACTGTACAAAGCTACTACTAGCTACACGATTATAATAGATGAAACGCTAACAACGTATAAGTTTAGACTCAACACAGCATTAAGTTTCGTAAGCACAAATCGTCTACCAGCTGTATGGTTAAATGCCCATGTTAAAAAGGTCAGATATTTGAGGTTTACCAAGCAGAAAACTACATTTATATTACCACTTATGACGGATCATTTATGTTCGGATTGAAGATTAAAGAGTCCTGACTATTGATATAGCCGCCAAAAAATCCCAAAAGTATAGATTTCCCAAAGCTCTAAATGAGATAATACATTTTCGAATCTTTTTCTTACAAAATTTTGAAAATAGCGTGGTGTGGGAATCTGTTTTATTGTAAAGCCAAAAGCTGTTCTGGGGATATTTTAAAAATAATTCCAATAATCTTAATCTTAAATTTATTTTGGTGACTGGTATTCCGCCCAGGTAATATTGCAAAAATATAACCTTGGTAATATTCGTTACAGCTTGCTGTAAAATTGTACATTCTTTTGATTTGTGTGCCATCGTTCTTAGTTTAAGTGTCAGTCTATGACCCACGGATTGGTTCCTATTTTACACTTCCTATCGAAGCGATTTTACTATGTAAAATAATTTACGAGGTCGTGCTGATGACGTCATGTAACGTGGTAAAAGTCGGTTTGTTTGTTTGCATAGAATTCACAAATATCATGATGTTTATTTTCTTCAGGTCGGTAAATTCCACCGAGGTCAATAAACGTGAAGACGTAGAAAGTGACGTATACTCGATGAGGGAAGCTAAACAGTCCACACCGATTGTCGTCGATATCCGACAAACAGAGGGAGAAAAATTGGGGAAAGTTGCTGACGTCGATAGCAAATAACAACCCAGTCCAAACGCTTGCGGAAGACTCAACTGACTGCGGAATAGCCATAATTACTTTTATTGGTTTTATTGGTCTGGTGTCTTGAAACGGCGATGCGCAATGACGAGACTAAAGTATATTTCAGCAAAACCAGCATGCAATCGTTGCAAAAAGAATGGATAAACTAATGGTAAGTTTGGATAAACTAAGAAAATCACGATACCAATCAATATGAATGACAATATACCTTCTAGAAGTTTCACATCTGATTACAAGGTTGGAATACGACTGAACGCCATGCGGCGCACCTAACAATTTTCTGTAAAAACCAAGACTAGACAAAAATACCGCATTATTGTTTCGTCAGAAATCAAAGCTCATTTCTCAAGAATGCAATCATTAGAATAATACACGTAACAATTTCGTGTGCTGGAAGCAGATGTTGTCAGATATATTCGTTACGAAAGTGTGAATTCATAGCGGTGGAAAATCACGCATTTTACGTTTCTGGAAAGGATATACAAAACCAACAACTATGATCCAGGATTAAAATACTCTTGTATTGGAAATATATCATTGATGACAAGTTAAGATGGAGTGTTCCGTTCTGCTGAATATAGCGGTCGAAACTTAGGTGGATGTAAAAAACCCGGGCCAAATACGTGTTCCGAAAATTTATTTGTCAGAGACGGAGTTATCTGGAACCGCTAAGCATTGCTTCTGACAATTAGGTGTTTACCTTCAAATTTATAGAATGCTTTAAGTTCGTTTTGCAGACCATGTTTTGATAAAAAGCATGCAAAATTTATAATCGAATTACTACGTGAATGACAAGTCAAGTTTATTTTTTCCAACTAGTATAATAAAAATCGATCTTCCCCAAAATATGAAAAATAAGATAATTACGAAATATTAATGGGGATGCATCAAAAATTTTTCGAATGTTTCGAATATTCAGTTTATTTTAAAGAGTGTAGTAAAATGAGTAATGCTCAAATATATGGGCACGAAAGCCGAAACAAAGTGGTAAGGGTATGTAGTAGTACCCATACACTTCGTGTTTAAAAACACAACACTTGTTGTGATTACTCTATCTTACTCTTACTTGATTGATAGTAGAAAATGTGATGCCTAATGAGCAAGACAATAATTTACCAAATGCCATAAGCAGATGTCATCCAAACATTAACACAAACCAACAAACTTATCTTTAATTTGGGGTTACGCGAGACCAACTTCCTATTTTTTCTCCTTGACTTTGGCTCCGTATGAGTATTATACAAGAATGATGCAGGAATAAAAATGACTATACTATGTGATTCAAGACTATTAAATTGCATCGTATAAATAAACTTATGTAAATTTTTGTGGTGCACAAGAATGCTGCTAATCTTATATACATATATATAAAGATATCTATCATACATTCCTATTATGAAATTAATTATTTACATTATTTTCTTTTCAATTTACAATCATAAATTGTATTTTATTTATTCTTGCCAAAATACACTGTGCTTTTCTAAATATTTTTGATCGATCGAGTGCTTTTAGAGTAAAATACACTATTTTTCTTGTTGGTTAATATACAAATCGTGGTCAGTCAGAGACACACAAGTACAAAAAAGATAATATATATTTATTGCTGGCAATATCGCGCTACAAGGCTAATGCGATCTATTTACCAAGATTGTTTGAGGCCATTCAGTTTTTGAAAGAATACAAAAATATGTTATTTAGTTTTTGTGTTAGTTTTCTCTGCTGTTCGTTATTGGTAGAAAGATTAGTTTATACGTCAAAACCACATGTGCCACTTTTGAGGATTAATCATGCCTAGTATATACAAAATGGAGCCTCTATCATTATAAACAGACGATTCGAGTTGAACAAGAAAGTGTCTATTCTATACTATAGCAACGGTGGGCAAACCACGACTCGTGAGAGATTTATTGCGGCTTTCCTCGCTAGCAATAATTGTTATTCAAATTCAACTAAGAGAACTGTATCAGTTTATATTCTGAATTTATTAGAAATCTTAAATTAGTCAGAGTTTTCATCTTACGTCACAATGGTCAAATATTTGTTGCTGGCGGTATGCGTGATAGATAGAATTCACATATTCGGGGGAGAGGACAGCCGATATGGCGGTTTAATCTTATGTAAGTATATATATATTAGATTCTTATCCGATTCCTAAATTTTCGATTCCGATTCTGAATCTGGATTCCTCGACATATCCTACCGAGAAAACATACCCTATTAAGGAATACCATATGAAATCAAACAAGAGAGTTATATTCAAATATATGGACGGGCAAGGAGGCCAAAACTAAGTAGTATGGGTATCCAATCTGTCACAGAAGACAAAATCGCACAAAATAAAAGAATCCCTCAGAACCCACAGAGATTTTATAAATAAATTAAATAAAAGCCTTTTAGCGTAATATATATAATATATATATATATATATAGTGAAGTTTGCGGCGTCGTATCTCAACATAGTAGTAAAGCAGTTTAAACATATATGTGGAAGGATTGTCTCAAAACGTTACACATTGTTTGCAATCCAGGTTTTAACCTCGAGAATCGATTCCAATGCATCAGAATCGATTCTAGTCGATGCCGCAAAGAATCGCTTCTGTAATCGAATCCGGACTCGACTCCGCCATCCCTAGTCATATGGCGAACAGCGGCATATTGTCCGGTTAGCAGTCAATGTCGGATATGGGATTAGTTTACCAGTTATTTGTTTTCGGATGCATGGACTTGATGGTGGAAGAAGCCGTAACCGACCAGCAGTTACGTGGACCACTCTACGGAGGCGAGGACTCCAACAATCCTCTCGCACATAATTAGCCTCATGGCAGAAATTTATGATATCATTTGGCAATAAACACTCATACTGACTGTAATTTTGTTAAAAAAATATTGCTGATGTTGTCGCAGTCTTGGATCCCAACAACACGGAGCGAGTAATAGTCCGAACGCCGGTTTCGCGTCGCACTACACAAAGGCGCATCTTCCAAATTGGTACTAATGTAACAGTTACAATGTAAAATGATTTAATGAGCTCTGATATTGATAATTTCAAAAATTATGCGTCTCTCCCATATTTCTGACTTGCTGCATGCGGCTCTTATACTAAAAATTTTTGCCCACCTCTAGTCTATATAATCCTTTCATATCGAAATTCTTCCGTCTGGAAGAAGTCTAATCCAACATATGTGATTGCAATATTAACACTAAAATAATCACCCGGTAATATGGCTTTGGATAAAAACAGTAAATCTTAATTTATATTTTTGTTGACTTACATACCAATAGAAGTTGCGTGACGATATTCGATTGGGATGAGCAAGAATTCTGGCATAAAGCTATGTCATAATGTCGGATGCAGTTACATGCCGGATTACCACTCCCAGGAACCATTTTTTTTAACAAATATATATATTTTATTTGATATATGAATATACCTAAATTTCCCTACTAATGGTTTAATTCGTGATTAACTTTGAGTAATGAATATATTATCTCAAGAAATGTTTTCATCTTATGGTTTTCTTGCTCTCAAGAGAATATACTTAGAAAATAGGAGATACGAAACGATTTTAACCGCAATGTCAACAACATTCTCGACGACGATACTTCACATTCGAATTCAGCAACCAGTTAATCCCAGAGATTGTATCGATATAGACCTCATTTTCAAATCAATTTGTGTTTACAAAATATTAACATGGTTTCGAATGTCTCACATCGTATCGTTAGACAAAGTTGATGGATGGATATGTTGGCCTTGTTTACATTTTAGGGTCAAATTTTGTAAACATGTCTGTGCGTGCCGACGTGAATGTCTTGATACGGAAATTTACTTTCACTTTAATTTCTTTCTTCTTTTTTGTAATTTACAGTCTCTATCTCTTAATTGCTTATTTTGAATAATTTCATCTTTCATATTTTAATGAAACCTATAATGATTTCTGGTTGAAAAAATACTATTCCAGTATCGGCAGGCATGGTCCACAATGAAAAATTATTTTGATTCGTTCGAACGGCTTCAAAACCTGCCTTTCAAATCGTTGGGATAATTATTTCATTTATGGGTTAGCTCTGACTAAATAATTTAGTGTTGGATTTCGTCATACTGGTGTAAAAAGATATGCTTAAAATCCTGATATTTATTCATGGTGAGGCCGACAACCTATCGTTGTATTTAAAAAAATCTATTTACATTCCAATTTAATTAATACTTAGAGATATCGCTGAACGAAAATACCCTTCCCTGACTTGTTTTAAATCACACTGTTTCTCACAAATTTCTTGCCCCATTTTGATCTATCTATAAGGCTTTTGCTGCTTTATGAATTCATGTACAGTATATACAAGGGTCCTCAGTTATATCAGTTCCACAATCCCATTCGACTTAAACCTTGATGTGTCAGAATTAATGTGCCCTGCTTAAAAATATTCAATCACCTAGTTCAGCAAAGAACGCATGAAAAAGGAAATGAATGAAATTTATTGAAGCTAAAGGTTTCATTTTCAAAAATAAATTATTCGAAATAAAAATGGTGGTCAAAGTGTTAATTTTAACACAGTAGAATTGATTGAAATTGATTAAAAAATCTACTATCAATATTTCAAGACTGATTTGATTTTCAAGTTTACAAACTTTCGAGTAAAATAGAGATTGGTTGATGCCAATTTTGTTCGTCAAAATGGCAAGAGATTTTAGGACAACAAAAACATCATAAACTAATTACATATAAATTAACTGAATTATAAATGATAATTACAGCACAGTAATTACATTTGTATGGATATGATTTATATCTACGGTTGCGGGGTAGTATACTAACTCTGTGTATAATAAATAGACGCACTGGTCGAAAAAGAAATATCTAATAGGTATATTTAATATCAATGAGTCCATTTAATCAAATATTCACAAAAAAACATAAACTAAATTAAATAGGCAGCTATAAAAAATAACATAAAATAAAACAAAGACAATGCAAATGTATAAATGTTGATTTTCTATGCCAGCAGCGAGAGTTATTAATTTGTTTAGTACAGAAAGAGGTCAATTTGTGTTTTTGTATGCTTGATAATATAGGCAAATATAAGACAATTTCGAGTAAATTTTCAGCAATTTTGGAGATCTTGTAGCAAGTACCAACAAACTAATATCAGTTTATATCAAACACAACATAAAGCAGAAGATAATATCGGCGTCTAAAGCCAATATTTACGATAATTTGAGCAATACATTCTTAAGAATTTCCAGAAGTGTTAAGAAGGACAAGTGAAAGCAATATAGGAAATGTCGGATTTCTCCTGAAAAGTTTCTTACATATTTCGTTATACAATTCGAATATAATTTGAACCTTTACATTTACACTTTTTTTCACAAATACTAAAAGCTATCATTTTTAATCATGAATTTAATCGAATCCCAGTCGTTGCAGGTTTATTACATTTTTATTTTATATTAGCAGAAATTTATGACATCAAAACGCAGATTTTTCAATAAATAAAATCATTAAATCTGGAAGAGAGTTTTTATTGCAGCGTGGTAAATGCTGCAAAAAATATGTTCGAACGAAACGAAAGATTTTCATACTCCGGAGAAGTACCTTCGGCTTCGACTTTTTGCTTCACGTATATCGTCCATACTGAGAATAATTACAAGCATCAAAAATAGATTTTCCTCTGTTTGTTAAATTAGTTTTGTCGTCTTTACAAGAACTTTCGACAACATGCTGTTCTGAAGATAGTTCATCATGTCGGACAACAATGTTTTTTGTACCAAACTTAATCGGGGGGCTTGACGATAATCCGTTTTTTTGTCTCCAACGAGAACGAAAGCGTGCAGCAGACTCGCCCATTTCGGCCGTCACGGTGATAGTTGTTTCATCAAAATGAACCTATAAATTACAAAACTGCAATCATTATAATTCTTGACCAAATATTTTAACTCGACAAACGCAGATGCAATTACTATGGCTATTCTATGACCGTATTTATGTCATCGCATACGCCGGGTTATTTATCACGAATACAATTAACGCTTATATCTCGTGGTCTGTCACAATACAGAAGCGGTCGACACGTAAGTCACGTTAGACAGTTTAAAAGGCCACAATAAATGTTGATTCATTACAAAGCTGACTGTTTGGTTTTCTAGTTACCCTATCTTTATAGGGAAATAAACAATGTTATGTGTAAACAAGATTAATGTCTCTTTTAGGATGGGATTTACATATTCGTCATATTTTATAAGTGGAGATCTTGGATATATATCAATGATTTGGGTCATGACTCATGACTGAAGTTACATTGGCAATATTGAATCATAATTATTTTCACAAGTTTTAAATTATTATAGAAACGCAATAAGAAATACACGTCGTGAAGTACTTACATTTCTTGTTGGCCTTCTTCTTCCACTATTTGGCGACAGTGCAGATGAAAGAGGTAAAATTTGTAGCGTCGTATCACTTCCGTGTGATGGTGAAATTGGACTAATAAGACGGTTTCCGTAGGTCGGACAAGATTCTGCAACATTCATAACGTTTCCACGAAATTTAACCATAACGTTATTGAAATCATTCGAAGGACGTGGTAACTTTGGAGAATCATATGCTATATCTCCTGCTGATCCAATACACGAATATCGTTCTGAAAACACTTGTCTCATTTTATCAATGCGATCATTATCTCCACTTCTCTTTTCATTAAAACGAGCCGTTATCTGTTATATTTCAAAAGGAATAAATAGAATAAGATGTAATGTTCTAGAACAGCGTTTCCCAAACTTTTTCGGCCACGGAACGCTTACAATTATTATCTCGCTTCGCGGATCATCAAAAAATGAAAGAGTAAAATTGATAAAGAAACATGGTGTAATGTGTAATCCAATGGGTTTGTCGTGGCGAGTTGACAAATGCGCCGCAAAAACTAACAGAATTGTGTTAAACGTACCTAAAATATGATTGAATATTCTACATAATGCATTTATTATAAATGTTTTATTATTTCTAAATTTAAATGCTGTGCATATGTCAATAAATTCATTTTACCTTTCTATGTCGTTACTTTCCATTACGTAGTGTTGGCCTGCAATGTTACGTCTAATTGAGATAGAAGTACTTGCTGCACTTTCGCGAACTGCAGACCTGCAGCTTATTTATCTGCTGAATCGAGTTTAGCGAACATGAGTAATTTTTTCAGCATTTCAAAGTAAAACCAGGCAGAGATGGAGGAAAAAGAGTTGAACTTTTACCTTTATGCTTTAGACCGACTTGTTTGCCCATAGCAAAACCAAAAGGATTGCTGTAAACTTAATAATGAACTTAACAGTCAAAAAGCTAGGCCGACGGTTAAGGAAATTGCCCCTACCCTAGTTATTCCGCTTCAGGCCGACGGTGACGCGATGTTGGGCAACAACTTCACGATCCCTAGATTTCCATGGCGACCAATTCAGACGTATTTTTGATTCTTTTTCCACGGAACACTCAGAAGACGGAAGACACTAGTGTTCCGCGGAACACAGTTTGGGAAACGCTGTTAGAACAATCAATTATTGAATGATTATTTATCAAGTGATGTATTCAATCCCCGTCCAAAATGATACCTACGTCACATAAAATCAGTATTTTGAAGTACATTAAAACAATTATGAACATGCACTCATCAAAAAATAAATGCCATATTTGTGATTAATTATATAACCAGTGTGCTTCGCGAAATCTCAATCTCTCGCAACGTTTTTATTTCAGTACTAATCGATTATTGATTATAGCCCACCATAGGTAAATTCCAAACATCGAGACTGAAAAATTAAATATTTTTCTCACCTGAGAATTTGGTATATTAATTGGCGCACTCGTCTGATTTAGATATGGAGATGTATCCATGTCCTCGATGTCCATGGCCACAAGGACTTGATCCAATATTTATTATGATATAATTTGTGATATATTGTGTACCAGGCACTATTATATTCTTGTGACAGTATTTTTATAATTGCTGCATATTTATTACAAAAAATACTGTGTCATTGCTTGCAAGAAATTATGAAAAAGGAACATACCATGCACATCCGAACGGGATTGTTTCTGAATGGGACAATTGTAAAGTCCACAAACTGATTGAACTTTACAAACATCTCTAATTTATATTGCACTAAAGTATTTAAAAGATGTAATTCTATCATCTCTGTTATTTCGTTTTATGGTTATAATGAGAACTCCCGCTTCCATGTTTTGCATATATATATACAAAAGTACTTCATTAATCCTATTGACTATTCAGATTAACTCGAAGCGATTCCCACATCGACAATTTCTTGTCGGCGTGAGTGTCAAATTTTCCAAGATATTTCATAAAAAAAAATATTTAATTTTTTTTATTCTCCACGGCACTCCGTATCATAATGTGTTTGGACGCCATACAGAAAAACATTGCCTGTGCCTAAGCCCCAGAAAAACATAGAATACAAAACTCAAATTAAGTTATTGATTTCACCATTTGTCCGTTTCACTATTTTCCTGTTAATAATTTAAATCAATCAAAATATTTCTAACGCTCGCTCGGCCTATATCCTTGCTCTATTGTAGAACAGGTAAATACTCTATACCAATATGGACCGCATTACGCTTGCCCAGCGATCCAACTCGAAATACCACTTCAGTCGATCGCATCGTCGTCAGCGGACGAGTCGGACGAAAACAACCACACTGAATAGCAAGCGGGACACACCCCCTGTTCAGCCCATCAATCGGGCAACAAATCAAAGGAACCTTTCGGATGAAAACATATATCCAATGAATGTCGTCGGCGTCGACCCTTTCTTTTGTTGACGTGGGTGATCACGATAACAACAGTCAACAGGGAACATGATATTATCGGATTGCAACATAACAATTGTACGGTAGATATTATATGCTGACAAAAAGGTTACAAAAATGTACAATACCATTTAACTAAATACCATACTTGATCCTATTTATAAATCAGTTCCTGGTTTACTTGACTAGACGCCATAGTCGGTCATATGTTGGATTGTTGTCATGTAGTTGGATCGTAGTATAAAAAACATTTTTAATTTACTGAGTTTGTAGCAGTGCGATTGCCTTCGCGAAGGTGACGCGTCTTCGTTATTATGATGATATTGTTTTCATCGTGGTGTGTAGTGTAGACTGTAGAGTACTCACTGATCAGGCAGGTTCTACTCGAGGTGCTCTTATATTCTATTGTCTGAAATCCGAAGGAAATATACTATCTTACTATAGTTGCCATCCGTGTTGAATCTGAAATTCGTCTTTAACGTTTGTTCTACAATAATTTCGCATGATTATTATAGCAAATCACTTTAATAATAGGTTGTTCAGACCAAAGTATACCTTGTTAAAATCCTTTTCAAGTCCTGGACGTTAAACTTTGTGCCAAATATTGGCACTAAACCGTTCATATACGTCTTATAGTCCAGCAGATAAGGGGCCTTTTTGGCCCCAACCTTGTTTTCAGACATAAAGTTTTTTTTTTATTGTAATTATTCATCTTGGGGTAATTGCCCATCATTTCTACATGGGTGTGGAGTTTGCAGCCTTGAGCAATTTTTTTACGGCTCGATATTTGTATTAGTGTTTTTCATCAAATCTGTGCACCATAATGGCGCACAACCTGAAACCTAACCTGTTACAATACTATGTTCAGGTTGTGCACCAAAAACGACGAAGCACCAAATTTACTATGAAATAAAAATCAATAACTTTTAGGTATTTTTTGAACCCAGCTTTGGGTCGCGACCCATATATATGGAAATACTGTTGTAACATACGCGTAAAATAAAGAGTACTATTTCAAAATACCCGCTTTTGTTGCAATTAACAATACAAGCCTGCTAATGCAGCCGGCAGTGGTTCAACTGGATATACACCCGGTGGAGAACAGTCAATTATTTGCTAGCAAGGATTGTTATGCAGCGGGATGATCACGGCGATGCAGTGAAGGATAATGCTGTCATGAAAACAAGAATGAGAAAATTGCTACATTTTATAGTATATCCCTGGGAAAGAATGTAGTTCATTCTTATGTTCCATGCCAATGCTTTTCAAACTACCAAAGACTTTCAACACTTTTGTTTCTTCTCTTCTATAAAAATACATTGTTATTATATATTCGCATTTCCATTCGCTACCGTGCTTCTCTTGCCTGTTGTCATGCTGTCCCTCGAATTCAACTACAACAAAAAATTCACGAAAACGGGTTTAAGATTTTATGATTTCCTTATTATTCTCGACAATGAATGATATATATGCGGGTAGTAAAATGCCGAGTTATTCCAACAACATGATCATGTTTTGCAACTTACAACCAATATTTTATATGTAACTTTGCTTGACAGAGCCCCAAGGCCAAGAGATCTGAATACAAATATCAAAAATGTGAGGCCAAAAAAGTTACACTACAACATAGCCAAATGTGCTGGATTTGCGATAGATAACAGGTTTACCAAAAAACATTACATGAAAAATGATAAAATAAAGATCAATTTAGCAATATCTACTTAAGATTAGGTGAAATGCATCTGCTGATGATTTTATCTGTTTGTTTCGGAAGTTTAATGACAGAATTAATTGTGGTTGTTGGGGATGTTTCAAAAAAAATGTTGAACGGAAAAAAGGTTTGACAAAATGTAAAGGTTTGAGAGTAGTAAAGAAGTGGAAAAAATACTCCCATGTGTTCTTTATTTGATAACCACGCCACAGAACTTCTCCGATAAATATACGCAGCAATTGCGAGAGGCAGAAATGTCAAGATGGAATTTCATCGCATTGCAAACCAATATTAGCGATTCTCAGATATATTCGCGCATTCCCATCTGAACAGCGTGGAAAAGATTATACCTATCTACACACTTGAAAAACTATGTCAGATGAGCGTCATATTATTGAATATCAGTAAAGGAATAGTGCAATGGGAAAAGACTTTTAAGGCGTAACTTTCAGTAATATGCATCAAATAATCTTATTGTGAAATATATATTTAAAAACAATTCGTCACGCCACGCTTAGATACCAATTGGCACTCATGTAAACTGGTAAGAGGCACGCGATGGAGCAGATAATATGAGTATCCATCCCCCAGCTGTCATTTGAGTAGGTACTGCTGTTTTTATTGCAGATGATACTGATTTTTTTGTATTAAAGATTTACTGGCATCACCGATTTAAAGATGACAAGTAATGGATATAAATAAACCATTTGAAAACCAACACGCAGTATTACAATCTTACTTCCAACACGCGGTTTGAATGAATAAAAAATCCAATCTATTTCAACTAATAAAATATTTAAGTCTCTAAAATAAATAAGTCCCTAAAATTTAAGAAGGAAAACGAAATGCCCGCAGCAACACAAATGTAGTCTGACGAGCGCAAAAGAAAGTGGCTAGATGCTGTCGATAGATCTTGGCTTATATTAGTGAAATAAACTACCATTAATCTACTAAAAATGAATTTCTGACATTGTAAGGAGATGGAATGTTACTATGTATTCAAAACTGACCCATGTAGTTATGAAATAATTGTTTTTAACGAAAAGGTGCTCCCTAAGTATTCGTACCAAGATGCCGCACAACCTGAACATTGCATGTGTACCAGGTTAGGATTCAGGTTGTGCGTCATCTTGGTACGTATACTTGAAATCCATTTAAAAAAAATTGCTCAACATTATATACTCCACACCCACCTGGGTATCATTATTTATGTCATCGACATTATATCTAAACAATAAAAAAAACTTTATGTCCCAAAACAATGTTAAGGCCCGATTCTGCCGGACTATTACACGATTGTGTTAGCAATACTACGCGGCGGAACGTATTGCAACTTGCAAGCTCAAAGCTGTAGGTATTTAAGTCAGGAATGTCTATTCGATACAGGCAGGTGAAGCAGTCCACACATAATTTAAAAATTACCGGGGTCCGCTCATTCCAAATAAAATTATATCTTAACTATGGAAACAAAATTTCAAATGTATCGTTTGACAAAATACAAGAGCAATGCTCAATGCTGCGCTTCGGTGCCAGTATGACAAGTCTTCAGTTGTGTAGCTCAGCGCCGACTTTGCTGCTGAAAAGATCTGAAATATTCGCCTCCATAGCAATTGTAAATATATATATATACTATATATTATTTAAGTCTTCTAGCAACTTGAATTATCTTTAAGAATGGAAATGTGAAATATATTAGTTGCGGAGATAAAACGATTTTTTTCGAGCAGTATCAAGAAAAAACATAATGTTCACCAGAATTCAAGCAGAACGATTCATTAGTCGATGTCCAATTGCAAAATTATTTGTGAATTGATAGTCTGAGAAATTACATTTCTTCGTTGTTTACAATTATTTCTATCCTGCTTATTGAAATGGGAGTATACTATTTCGCAAAATAAGAAGAAACGATGCATTCGAATTCAAGAAGCAGCTGCGGACCAGAGTTAATAATCGATTTAAAATCGGAAATTCCCATCCCCTTCTGAAAGAGTCCCCTTCTGAGGACAAGATCACTGAAGCTACAAGTTACCGATTAAGAATAACCTACTCTTCATCTCCATACCTCTATGAACTATGGGTAAAATTCACAAGGAAGACATCCCCTTTAGACATATACTATCATTTACAGCAGGGGTGGCCAACCTGCTTGCGACCGCGATTGAAACCTCTAATATAAAAATTATTCCTCGTCGTTCAAACGCGCGAGAAGCACGTAATAATATACACTTCTAATGTTTTTTGACGGGTTTTCACTGTTTTTGCACGTTTTAGGAGGGTTTCTAGTGTTTTTTGACGGGTTTTCACAGTTTTAGTAAGGTTTCTAGTGTTTTTTGAAGATTTTCCACTGTTTTTGCACGTTTTAGCAAGGTTTCTAGTGTTTTTCGACGGGTTTTCACTGTTTTTGCACGTTTTAGCAGGGTTTTTAGTGTTTTTTGACGGGGTTCTCACCGTTTTTGCACGTTTT